AGCAAATAGAGCCTCTTATTATTTTGATGTTGGCTGTCTTCCCTGTTTAAACACTCACTTCATCACCTGACTCATAAATAAAATAAGTGTACCACAATGTAAACATTGGTTATTCAAATGGGACTCTCAAATAACACAGGCAGAAAGCAAACAGCTCGCTGCCAAATGTGGCTCATGTAAAACTAATTATAACACTCCCCATGTTTGCACACACCTGGAGAGCCAGGCTGTGCACAAAATCAAGTGTGTGTGTGTCTGCCTGTTGTCTAAATGTGTGTCTGATGCTTTTTTTTTTACAGACCTGTTTTCGGTCTGCTAAAACAGATAAGCTTCTAAATATTATTTATTGCAAAACATTATATGATACATTTCAATACCTTATGGTTAAACTATATAGTTGTTAAATAAATAATGCCAGACTATTTTTGCCAGAAATGTCTTAAAGAGAATAAATAATGTCCTTTATTGGTAGTTTATTTGTTATTTAATGTATACTGTGCAAAGATTGTTTTCAGTGTACAGAAGTCCGAGATGTATTTTGTAAGAGAATAAATAAATGTAAATAAATAAAAAATATATTTTTTTACAAAATTACAAAGAATGCAGTTATTCCAGAATAAGGAGCATACAGTAATGATGGAACACATGTTTTTCAGACTTCAAAGTTGTTATTAGTAACTTTTAAAGCTGTCAAATCATTTGTATTTGCTAAAATTAGGTAATGATTAAAGTAATTATTTACTTTAATCATTCACTTTTATTTTAAGTGAAAATGTACAATAATGTGAAAATACAAAAGACAGACCAATAAAAAGGGAGGTACTTTGTTACAGTACTTGATTCTGCTTGGGTTTATTTTAAGTGTCCCTTTTAGAGAGAAATAAAAAAAGGGCTTTATAAAAAAGAAAGAAAGGGAAGAAGGATCAATTCAAGGGACCTTCTTTGCATCAGTAGGTGAGTGATCCATTGTTCAGCCCACCCATTTAAAAAACCTGAAGACTTTGAATAAGATGTCACGCCAGTGGTTCACCGGAGCCTTTTACGGAGGGTTTCAAGGTGAATGGAAGCCACAACCACTAGCCCTTTCACTGCCAAATGACTGCGGCCGAGCCCTTTCCTGGCTCGGTGAATTTCAAGGGGGCGGCGGCTTGAACCACAGAGTTAATTAGGTTTGTTTATTTGGGTAAAATTTACATTCAGGAACCCTGAGAACATCCTTTATGGAGTCATATAAGAAAGGGCAGAATTGTTGAGGAGGGGAAGTTAGGATCAAAGTTTTAATGTGAGGCTTTGTTTTTTGAGATGTGAGGTATTCAAATGATGGGCTGTCAGGCTGGAGTGCTTTTACAAGGTCATTGAAGTGTCAACAGACAGACAGATAGATAGTAGATAGATAGATAGATAGATAGATAGATAGATAGATAGATAGATAGATAGATAGATAGATAGATAGATAGATAGATAGATAGATAGATAGATAGATCGATCGATCGATCGATCGATCGATCGATCGATCGATAGATAGATAGATAGATAGACAGACAGACAGACAGACAGACAGACAGACAGACAGACAGATAGTAGATAGATAGATAGATAGATAGATAGATAGATAGATAGATAGATAGATAGATAGATAGATAGATAGATAGATAGATAGATAGATAGATAGATAGATAGATAGATAGATAGATGGATGCATCTTAACAATTGCCAATATAAAGAATATATGGTTAATTGTTTCTATTCATTATTCAATTGTATATTAGCACATGTGTGTTTTAAAGCTGAAGACTGCCCGTTCCTGTTTCAAAATCCATCGTGGAGTTTGGGTGTGTAAAAAATAATACAAATGCTCTAGACCAGGGGTATCCAAACTACGGCCTGGGGGGCAAATGAGGCCTGTGGTCCATTTGTAATTGTCCCGCAGCAATTTCTAAAAGTATAATGGAATATGGCTCACACATGAAACGTGGGCTTGTCTTATATTGTACATCTTATATATATCGAAAAATATATTAATAATATTAATATATGGTTAATTGTTTCTATTCATTATTAAATTGTATATTAGCACATGTGTGTTTTAAAGCTGAAGACTTCCTGTTCTTGTTTCAAAATCCATCGTGGAGTTTGGGTGTGTAAAATGGTGCAAACAAGACATTTAATATTAAATGTATCATAAATATATGTAAAGATTACCAAGAAACATTTTGAATATTGACATTTCTCAGTCCTAAAACAGATCTCAATATGTATTTTTTATCTATTTGGATAAGATACACTTTATGTAAATGCAGACAAATGATGAACTGTACTTTGAAAGGAAAAAACAGGAGCAGAAAAAATAATAGCTCAGTCATGCATAAACAATCAAGTCCCCAGTAAAAACAGCTTTATCTTTTCATAATGAAAACTACACAAAGTTTCTGATATCAGAATGATGCAAATGAAGCCTGACTAAACCTGTGTATCGTTTTGCATGGTTTGCCTTTGAAACTCCACTTTGCTATCATCAGATTTTCTAACTTAGTGTATGTAAATGACGGCTGGCACTCAATCACTCTGGACTTGGCAAGTTTGTTTAGAGCTCAGATGTCTGTGGTAATTCATTACCTGCCAGGTGCTTCTGTGTGACAGCACAGAGCTGCACAGGCCAGCTTATTGAGGCAACTGCTGGTCACGGCTTCCATCTTGTGTCCACTTTAGGGATTGCAAGGAGGAGCACATACAGTGGAGTATTAACAGTTCCCTAAAGAAACTTTAACCCTCCTGTTGTCTTCGGGTCAAATCTGACCGATTTACTACTTTCATCAATCATAACTTTTTTGTTTTACATTCAATTGCATTAAGGCTTTATGATATCCTTCACAGTAGACATTTGAACATATAAAATTGCTGATCACCACTTTCATTGAATTTTGGATGATTTAGTCAACTTTGTAACACCCATGGTGTTCCCGGTCCAAAATGACCGCCATAAAGAAAAGGAATTTAGTAAGGATCAGATAAAACACACACACGCACACGCACACGCACACACACACACACACACACACACACACACACACACACACACACACACACACACACACACACACACACACACACACACACACAGAACAATTTGACACATTTCCCGCTCTTATGTGCCCATCCCCCCACATGGATCACACCTGGCACACGCAATACATGTTCAGCGTCTATTCTTTGTATATTTACTGCAGTTTTTCATGTATACCAGTAGTCTGATACAATATTTACAGTTTGAAAGGGTGTTAAATGAAATTTGGTGATGATTAATGGTTTTTGTGTTAATGTAATAGCAGTTAAAACAGGACCGGTCAAATTTGACCGTGAACACCAAAGTAAGGGGGGGAAAACGAAGACAATAGGAGGGTTAAAGTAAGATTGAAAACAAGTGCTTGTTTGTATTTTTTATTTAAACCCAGTTGTATATCCTATATGATGCTGACAAGGGGGAAATAGACATCATGCTTTCAGTCCACAAAGTAAGTAAGCCCCACAGGAAAAACATTGCATATTAATGCACTGGTGGTCAATGGCTAATTTGCATCCATTACATGTCCTCTTTCAGACTAGTAAAAAGGAAAACGTTAAAAAAAAAAAATGACTCTACTATGTTAAAAAAAACAAGAATTGTATTTCTCAACCTGTATTCTCCTAATCAAAAATATATATAAAATTATGAGCATAGGTTCACAGTACGGAGTATGATGAAGGTCACAAATCGTGAAATTATAACGCATAATGTAAACCGATCAAACTACACTGCAGGGGAATGGGATAAAAACATGTTAGAGATCACCATGAAACTTAAGTTGACTATACTTATAGCATTTTTTTTGGAAAACATGTATTGAAAGTTATATTTAAATATGTAAACAAGGCATTACATATGTGCTAATGTGTACACATTTCAAGATATGGACATTACATAAAGCAGGTTAAAATGTAAATGTATGGACATTAGAGTCCAGGTGTAAAAATAGGGAAAAAGTTAAGAAAATTGCTCATGATTAATATATTGACCTGTAAAATCAGTGACGTGCTGCTTTAGCGATGACATTTTTACCACAACTTTGAGCTTAAAAGCTTTATAGACTGGGTTAACTTATTAAGAGATACATTATTTGATAGACAGCAAAAGAATAGCATTGATTTCATCAGGGCCTGCTGAAAGATTAAAGGATATTAATGATATGACAGTCAAAATGAATACAGCTAATTGAGTTTTTTTTTTTTTTAAACTCCAGTTGTGTTTGGAATTCTGTTTGCTTGGGAATGACACAATGGTCACCATGTTGGCTCTACAATGACTAAAAAGAATGATCAATGATTAATGAATTTTAATCAGATAGCTGTTCAAGTTTTGTATTATTCTGTTGAACAATAAATCCTTTAGCATATTTTTTTAACATTCCTTAATGCCTGTATTGAATAAATGTGTTCAAGGTTACAACAAGGTGCAGGTTCCTTAAAGCCATTGTTAACACATTACAGATGGAGGCTTGCATTGACTTGCATTAGTGTCCTGTGCAGACAAAGAGACTTCACAGGTGGACAGCGTCAGCATTTACATGTGTTTCTCTTATTTATGTGCATCCCAAACACAGATGCTACTATATACTTGAAAGTAAAAGCAACACAATAAATAAGATTATTTATCCACTTTTAAAAAGCAGAGACAGGGTTTAACATTAACAGTACATCAACACATATTTCACATGTGTACTGTTGCTTATCACAGTATTAGAAACATGTTATTAAATTAGAATACGTGTTATCAGTGACGAGAGTAGATTAGCGTCTTGTGTACAGTTATGGCCACTCAACCACAAAGAAAGTTACAGCAAAAAGTTACTGCAATGACTACAGAAGAAAATGTGGATGAATGACGTGGGAAAAGCCAATCATTGTAGAGGTAGGCGGGTATTTCCGGTGACATTGACAAATCAGCACAGGCAACAGAAGAACCACTTTAACATGTCAGCAAAACAACATCGAGGGGGAGGGAACTTTCGGAGAGCAGTCATATTTTGAAGAAACATCACAATATTTTCATCTAATGGTGTGCAGTAACAGTTCAGCCGAAAGGTAAATTGACCAACGGCGATTTGTTTTTGATAAATATTTACATGTTACTACTCAGTGTGCAGCTAACTGTCCAAACTTTCTGACACAGTTAGCTGATGTAGATGGTGAACCCGGAGCTAGCTTGCAGGCTTGTAGACATGCTAGCTAACCTCAGCTAGGTAGCAAAGCTCCCGAGAGCTCCAGCGAAGCAGACAGACATAACGCATCCTCGTTGCTTTGTTTTGTGACACCGCGTGCCTCTAATTGTATTATTCGAGTGGATTTTGTTCTATTAAATGGTCGCTAAGGTCACGTCGGGGGCTTTACTTTTATCCTAAATTCGGGTTTGTCTGCATATCCGTGATGGCCACCAGTTTTTGGGGAAGCCATGATCCAATCAGAGTAAACGCTGTACAGAGTGAAAGCTAACGTTACTGTAGCTGTACAGGGCTTGTCAGTAGCTAACGATAACAAACGCCAACCTGGTTATATCACTTTATCACGCTGTATGTTCTTTATCTTATTGGTTATGTACCTATTTAGATATATGTTATAGCGCAGTATAAAAAGGTGTGCTAATTATGAGTAGCTTACATAAGACACGTCACACACCTTTTTATTGATTAACATATGGTTGCATCAGTAACATCAACATTAATACAGATGAATATAGATATGAAGAGGAATGATTAACAAGAGGTATATTAACCTAAACCAATGTTAAAAAAATACGCAAGCTCAATTGGATGTAGAGAAATAAACAGTGGTGTGACTTATAATAATAATAATAATAGTAATAATAATAATACGTTTAATCCTGAAATCATCTTTTAAAACATAATACAAATGCATCAAAATAGTAAAATAAAAAATATTGAATATATAAACAAAGGCAGTACAAAATTATGTGAAAGTAAGAAGATATACAAAATTATTAAACAATATAAGTGATTATAAACCAGAAAAATGTGTGATATGATATGTATTGGTCTGTGTTAATATAATAAATTAGCCAAAATAACATTATACAAAATGATATACTATGGTATATGATACATATTACAGCATAATATAATACAATTGTTCAACAATATTAGACACTATTAATATAGTACAATAATATAACATAGTACCGGGTAGTGTAAGATAGTATAGCATTATAAGATGAATTTAATTGAAAACCAAGTACTGTGTGATATGGCAAAATATAATAAATAAGAATGATCAAACACCAGTATGGGGATGTCTTCAAACTGTGGTTATTTGCAGGTTTGTAGTTGAAATACTTGCTGTATGTCAGGTCTGATTTATATCTCAATGTTTCTGTTACTCAAGACTTGTACTTTCTTTCTACAGGTACTGTCAATATTTGTCATGTATTAATATGCATACCTTTGCCAATATTAAGCAGTGGCTATAATAACAATGCCAGAATAACAATAAGCTGTTGATTTGTGTGAACATATGCTTACATTTAGATAATAATAAAACAATAACAAACAATACATATTTTATTTATTTAAATGTTTATAATAATATTCTTCATACATGAAATGCAACTCAAAAATGTAAAGGGCAAAAGTTAAACATTAGATTACAGAATAAATGTTATGGTTGTAATTTGTATTGCATTGCATTAAATCTTGTCCCTCCTTTCCCCCCTGAAGCTGCCTGGTATGCTCCCAGCATTACAGTAGATGTCCACCCCTTTAGACACATCAGGTGATATGTCCCATCCTGGCCCTTCTCCGGGGGCAGGTCTGTCCCCAGGGCCTATCCTGGGCCCCAGCCCTGGACCTGACCCCTCCCCAGGCTCTGTTCACAGTATGATGGGACCCAGCCCTGGGCCTGGAACACCCAATGCACCGCATGGCATGCAGGGACAAAGTGAATACTCTCAGGACGGCATGTATCCTATGCACAAGGTGTGTCTTTTGTTGTTACTACAGAACAAAGACAGTGTAGTAGTTAGTTTATACCTGTATTGCTTATTGCAGATACTTCAAATTATATATATATTGCCTGATAAATAACAGGAGATACCAATTTAGAATAACAAATATATGTTTAAGGTGATTTAGAACATTTCTCTAAGGCATAACTTGTCCACTAGAGCAATTACAAGTTACTCTTTAAATTGAATTTAAGAACTATTGGTTTATGTTATGTTTTAAGAAATAATATAGTCAAAAAATAGTATTTGGGCTGCAGTTTTCCTTATTATTTATTGACCACACAAGTCACATAAATACATATATACATAAATATATATACATAAGAAAAAGAAAAGGCAAGTAATAAACATTTTTTTGTGGAAATCTACAAGTGGCAGTATACCAGTGCTGCTGTGTTTTTTCATATTCTTTACATTAAGCTGTAGTGTCTCGACAATTTTGGCATATAGCACCTAAGAAATATAGCTTAGACAGATGTTAACCTCTTTAGCCCAATAAGCACCTTCTGACAAACGTGTGACCTAGTAATGTCTTCTAAGATGAATAGAAAGAGAATCATATTTATAGCATGATTTGCCTATTGTTATCCCAGCCTTAAGATTTGTAGATGTTCATTCCAGATTTGAATCTGTTGTATACAATGAATACATCTTAATCCTGAATCTGTATTTTTGTATTGTCAGTCTATGGAGGGGATGAATGAAAAGACCATGGCAGATGCGATGCACTTTGGTCACATGAAAGGTGTCGGGATGAGATCTCTGCATAGCGGCATGGGGCCCCCACAGAGTCCGATGGACCAGCACAGCCAAGGTATCTTATTGTTAGCAAAGCTTATTTTGATGAATTTGTATTGCTCTATTAACTTAAAATAACCCAGTCAATAAGAAGAAAAGATAGGAGGAAACTCAGTTTGTTTTGTGTTTTTTCTGCTTTTCTGTCAGGTTACTAATCATACTACCCCTTGGGCTCTGACTTTAGGTTACTAATCTGGGTATTTAAAACCATTATACTCCTTCCTCTCTCCTGTAGGATACATATCCCCACATCCGTCCCCAATGGGGGTCCATGAGCATGCTTCTAGTCCCATGTCAGGAGGTGGAGGTGGTGGGGGACCCAAACCCCCACCTCCCTCCCAGTCCGGCCCTATGATGCCCACGGACCCTCAGTCAGCCGGGCCCAACATGTCCAACATGAGCCCTCAGGGCCGCGGACCCTCTGCCTTCAGTCCGGTGCAGCTGCAGCAGCTCAGAGCGCAGATCCTGGCCTACAAGATCCTGGGCCGAGGCCAACCCCTGCCAGAAAATCTCCAACTAGCTGTTCAGGGCAAGAGAACTCTACCCACAATGCAACAGCAGCAGCAACAACAGCAGCTTCAGCAGCAGCAGCAGGCACCTAGTGCTAGTCCTTACAACAGGCCTCCAGGTAAGAAGACACACTCATACAGAATGTTTACTTGTATCTTTTCACTTTGTGTTTCCATTCAACGGATCCAAACAAATCTGACACTCTTATATGAGCTGCGTGTCCTCCATGATATGTGAGTGAGGCGACCTTCAAATCTAGATGGTTCATATCTCAAAGCAACAAGATTTTGATCCAACTGCATCCACACCTTTGGTTGACAAATGCCCTGGTATAGCAGTGTTTATGTTCCGTTAAAAGTGTAAAGAAAGAATGTAAACCATTGATATAATGCACATTATGCTTGTGTGGTTATGTTGAAGAATAATACATGTATTATTATGTAAGATATTGGTATTACTGTGCACTAAGTTTTAGTGTCTGATGTATCCTTAATCCACATGTAATAATAACATCATATATCATGAGAATTATTACTGCACTGTTGTTTGGAGGCCTTTTGTTGAGAATGACCTGTGTTAGAGGTTTCTTCACTGTAATAAGATTAAACTGTCAGGTTAACCCTAAAATAGTCTTACTATTTTCTATAATTCATTGAATAACCGTTAAGTCTATAAAATGTCAAGGTCAAAAAGCCCAATATCGTTTTTATAGAACCTAAGATGGCATGTTCAAATAACTTTTTACCAGACCAACCGCCAAAAACCTACATTTATTCAGTTAACAATGTGAAACGGAGAAAAGCTGCCATCTCTAAATATTTGAAGAAGCAGAAAACTGTTCAAACATTAAAACGGTGTTATCAAACTGAAGATGCCTACCCATCACGGTCTCATCTGTTCATTTCACAATTAGTAACATATGTATTTATTTTGTGTTGGAAGGTATGCCAATGGCACCTTTGGGTGGGCTGCAGTCAAGCCCCTGCCCCACCCCAACCATGCAAGGACACAATCAAAGCACAGGACCCAAGCCTTGGCCTGAGGGTAAGTAATACCTGCATATGTGGACATTTAACTGTCAAAGTGAGCTGTATTAGTTTTGACTTACGATACATCTTTTCATTCCAAGCATTCATCATTTATTATATGAACTGTTTGACCATTCTGCTCTCAGATGTTTGATGTATGGTCTCATGTCAGATTCTCTTTGAAATCAGGCTAAAGTGAAGTCTTTGAAGCTTTAAGTGCTGAAAGATGATGGAATCCAAGGTTGATTTAAACATATATGCAGTATAACAGCACTGCCTGCAAAAAGGCAAATCGAGCAAAAAACTATTTGAACAAGTCATCTGGGGGCTCCTGTTTGGACTACTATAATTTCCACTAATAACAGGCATCAAGTGAAAAGCCATGCGCTCATATATCTGTATATGCAAGTGTTACATATAGGAAATCTAGCGCTTAACAAATGCAACAAGTGTTTTTAATGACAACTTATATCATTCCTTTTATCCTCTAGCTCGCACTGAAATGACATGAAAAATAGGGTTTGAAGATATCGCAAAGTAGAAGAGATATTGGGCTGTCAACAATGTTCTAAATTAGCATTCACATATACATACGTTTTTAAAACCAAAAAACAGACAATCATAGCAGCAGCCACCTTTTTAAGGTTTTGTGAAGTTTAATGAGATGATGGCGTAAAGATGACACTTCATTTCACATTCACAAATCCACTGTGCCTCGTCATAGCTGCTTTTTTAAGGCTAGCAGCAGGACTGAAGAGAAACAGGCCATCTAACTAATTATATTTATGTATATTTAGTTCAATAATATAAATACACAACAATAAAGAGAGATACACAAAAAACCCAATAAAAAACGTTTCATCTCCCTCTGGGGCCAATTTAAAACTAAATAAATAACATGTTAACTCCTTAAGGTATGAGGTAATCAAAACGGCAAAAGCTCCTGGAAATGGTGTGACGGCAAATTGGTCCCAGGGGAGGGAACCGACTTAGAACGATCCAAAAATCTCTACGTCTGGATTAAAGAGTGTGCGGAAGAAAATGGGGAAGCCTGGATGGAGCCTGGCATGGGGGGAGAAAGGCCCCTTCCATCATATGTATGTGTCTGGTGTGCAGCTAGTCTTAAGGGGGCCCTTTTATGCATTTTGGTTTTTCCCTTTCTTGTAGTGTGTGATATAGGCTTTTGTGCATGTAAATGGTCTGCAAAGGCTAAAATCCCAAAGTTCCCTCCAGAAAGAATTTTTCTCCCCCCCCCCCCCCCTGCCTGAAACACCTCCATGTTATTCCTTTCTTTACTTCCACAACATAGTGACATCACTATATAACACTCGCGCTTCTATTGGCTAGTGCTCCAACAGATTGTATTTGATAGGCTACAGGGTGGGACATCTCAAAGCGGTTGACCAATCACAACAGAGCCTTCCAGCTAACCAATCAGAGCAGACAGGGCTCTGGTTTCAGACAGAGGGTGAAAAGAGGTGCTGCAGCACAGGCAGTATGAGACAAATAAAGAGCTTTTTGAACATTAAAGCATAGAGACAGTAGAGGCTCAAAATACAATTACGAAACCTGACAATTAGCATAATAGGGCCCCTTTAGAAAATACATGGTACTTATTCCACTGAACTGAAGAAACCCTCCGTGCTGTGTACCTGCTTATCCGGAAAAAAATAATTCCTTTACAGATCAGTCTACGTAGAGCCCCATTGTAGACCTGCGAATTCTGCAACTGTATTGGTGGTAGAAAACACATTATTTTGTAAAAGTTCAAAAGCATGCCTTTATTGTCATTGCTCCAAGATCAAACCTGTATTGCCAGCTCACCTTTAATTATTAGGATCATACGGTTTAAGGGTTTTAAAAAATGTGGGTGACTTATCTATAATCTGTGTTGTGGGAAGTGTTTTGCTTTTCCTTGCATCAGGAGCATCTGTTTTGTTATTTTTTTACTTTTTATAAATAGATTTTCACCATGTCTGTGACCCAATAACAGACAAAGTGTTTGGTCTCCAGGTCAGGGTGTTGAAAATCAAGCCAACGCCCAGAAGCACCTCACTCCTATTCCCAGTGGACGCCCGTCCCCTGCACCCCCCCAGGCCTCTGCTGTGCCAGCCGGGCCCATGCCAGGCAGTTCACTGACCCCCCAGCCTCCAGGTCAGCAGGTGTCCCCCATGGTCCAGATGCAGAAACAGAACCGCATCACGCCCATCCAGAAGCCCCAGGGCCTGGACCCAGTGGGGATCCTGCAAGAGAGAGAGTACAGGTATCTATCATTACCACGCTATTATTATTATCTTAACTTCATAAGCATTTTTGCTGAGGTGGGATCTACAAAGAACGTTGAGCTCTTGTCAAAAGAAATCTGGACCGTTTGTGTTAGCTTTTTTATTACAAGTAACCATTAACAGAGCTAACGCACTCTGCTTGTGTAAAACATCAGAAGGGTGAATGAGAGGCTGCAGACAGAGCAAATGGAAATGCTGATTTTTTTACATGTTTACACGTTTATGTTCGTAAACGGGTATTGGCTGCTGCGTGAAAATAAATAACAACATAACGCTCAAAAGAACTGATGAAAGAACAGTTAACGTTGGAGATCACCAATCCTTTTAAATGCCAGATTTCAGTACCCATCCCGCCCAGGTATCCTTATACCTGTGAAATGGATAGTGTGAATAACATTTGTTTGTGAGCCCATATGGTCTTTGATGTAGCTTCTGTACACACAAATGACCAATCTCCCCTGAGATAAAAGCCCACAGGCTGAATCCTATTCTGAAAACAGACACGGCTGATGGAGATGTGAAAGCTGACCTCTCTTCACAATGTCTGTCCACTTATGCAATCTGAACATGCTGTCGGGGAAAAAACACAGCAGCCTTTACTTATTGATACACATCTGAGGCACCTGACAGTTGAGTGATCAAAACAATACTGTCAGAGCTTATCAATTATTGTCCGATGTTCCCCCTCGGGCTAGTATGCATTGAGGGTAAGCTACATGAGAATACTACTGATTACATAATAGTACCTGTGTGTGGACTCTCCTGAACAACTTTAGTGACAAGGAAGCCGGTGTTGTTGAATTGAAGTTGAACAAAGATGCATGCAGTTTGCTTTTCGGCCAAACTGTATACATTTAAATCGAACGGACTTGTTTGTGCAGATGTGAGCGTCCTTAACAACGGTCAATAAGTCCTTGACAGCGGTCTGTCTGTTCTGGATTAACAACGTGCCACGTGTTCTGAATTGACTAATCAGAATCGAGTATTCAACTAAGCCATGTAATAAGTAAGGGTGAGTTTCTCTCCAGGGTGGTTGTTACTGTTTGATTTACCATTGTCTTAATGCTCCCCAGGTTGCAGGCTCGGATTGCTCATCGAATCCAGGAGCTGGAAAGTTTGCCCGGCTCTCTCGCCCCCGACCTGAGGAATAAAGCCACAGTGGAGCTCAAGGCCCTGCGTCTGCTCAACTTCCAGCGGCAGGTACACAGCAGTGGCTCCACTCATGTTCAACATGACCGCTCAGAATATTCATCTACTCAGTTGATGTATAACTCACAGTTGATGGAGTCCAACATTTACCCTGTCAGGACACATTGCTTAGTTCCCTATTGATTCCTTACATCAAATCTAAACAGTAGGCGTTAGTTGTCTGAGTTTACTTTTAATGACATTTTATTTCCTTATGATACAAAAGGGTAAAAAAGATAGTTCAAATTCGTTTTTCCTGTATAATATTGTAATTAACACAATTATGCAATTTTATTTGTATTCTAGTGATATCTAGACAGTTAAGTTGTTTATACACCTTCATTTACTTGGCCGTAGTTGCTATGAGTCCCTGCAGTTACAGCTGTGTGTTATTGTGTTACAGAATAACTCAATGCACGTAATATAAAATAGTTAGTTACAGGGTTGCCATAAATCCTAAATAACCTGAAAAATGGTTTACCATTTTCCAGTCATTGAAAACACAAATTATTAGAATTTTGACCTTGGAAATTATTTAAACATGTGGCTTTTTTTCTTTAGTTGAGAATGAACTCCTAGATTATCTAGGTAAAGGTAAAGAAATGGATTCAAGTATGGCGTGTTTCCTGTCTGTGATACCAGCTGCACCATCAAGGAAGATGTCCTGGAAGATTCTCTGTAGAAAAGGAAACCGTATTTAATTGAGTGTTTCTCGTTTTGCTCTGTGCCACACGGCACTAAATCTTTAACTTTGTTAAGCAAAATAACTTACTAACTAACTTAATTGAATATCTCAGGCTATTACACGTGTAATGATGTCTCATAAGCTTCTGATGGATTTGATTTTTATCAATTCTGCCTGCGATATAAGTTTACTGCTCACATGTACAGTTCTGACATTATTGATACATCTAATCCATGCTTATCTCCAGCTGAGACAGGACGTGGTGGCGTGCATGAGGCGAGACACCACCCTGGAGACGGCCCTCAACTCAAAGGCTTACAGACGCAGCAAGAGGCAGACGCTGAGGGAGGCGCGCATGACGGAGAAGCTGGAGAAGCAGCAGAAGCTGGAGCAGGAGAAGAAGCGCAGACAGAAACACCAGGTGATCCACAGTGTTCGTAAACATGTTCAGAGAGGAGCAGGAGTGGTTCCAAAAAACATAAATGGTCCTGTGTAGTCTCGTGTGAATGCCCTCGAAACAAGAGGTATCATCATAACTAAGATTTTGATTGAAAATGCTATTCTTAGAGCTGATGTTTAAAGATAACTAAAGATAAAGAAGAGAAACACGACAGCTATGAGAAAGATTGTTTCTTAAAAGTCAACATCGACAGTTACAACTAAACCTGCGTGATGACAGAGAAAGTGGAGTCTGGCATCACAATGCTTCATTATTTTTACTAGTATGCAATGTTGTGAAAGTCCTTCTAACACTTTGTTACTTGCTTTTCAGGAATATCTCAACAGCATCCTTCAGCATGCAAAGGACTTCAAAGAGTATCACCGCTCGATTTCTGGAAAAATGCAGAAGGTCACCAGATCCATCGCCACCTGGCACACCAACACAGAGAGGGAGCAGAAGAAGGAGACTGAGAGAATTGAGAAGGAGAGGATGAGGAGGCTCATGGTAAGGACCTGAAAGTCAAAATATATATTATATCACACCTTTAAGAAGTAAATACTTTATATCCCTAAGAGTTTTGGAGATGAAAGACACACAGAGAGACAACTTGGACAAGCATTAAATAAATACATTAGTTTCAAAGCACTTCTTACCCTAGCTTTCTACCACACAGTTCAAATATTTCTTGTAAATCTTAACTTAAACATTAATTAATTTAATCAACTCATATATAAAACCAAAGCTATTTGTCACTGCAAACCCCCCAAAAGCATTATAGAGCGCCTTTATCTATCATATTACTTTTTCAATGAAACTTACAAATAGAAATATTTTTCCAATCCAAAATGTGTTTATATCACTATTTTGAGGAATTCATTGCAATCATTCATCATCAAAATATAAGAACTACTTTATGATCAACTAGAACAAATATGTGGGTTTTATATGGATTTGAGCTTTTGTTAGATTGATGTAAGGAACTTGTCCATAACACACCACAATAATGAACATCCTGTCCCCCACTCAGGCAGAAGATGAGGAAGGCTACCGAAAGCTAATCGACCAAAAGAAAGACAAGCGTCTGGCCTACTTGCTGCAGCAGACGGATGAATACGTGGCTAACCTCACCACCCTGGTGTACGAACACAAAGCTGCCCAGGCTGCCAAGGACAAGAAAAAGAAGAAGAAGAAAAAGAAGGTAGGAATAGAAAAAGGTCAGGTGGTTATTTTTCACAGAAAGTTTCTTTAAATGCCTATGGATATTTGATTTGTATTCTACTAGGTTCTGAAGACCCAAGGTTTTACCTTCTCTGAGTCAGAAAGAAAAACATGAAAAGAGCAAAACCAACAGTGCGCCTCTCATCACCTTCTGACTCCTTTAATCGTATCGTCAAAGTCCTCTTTCCAACAGCAGACGTCAAACTTTAAAGTGGACCTATCATGCTATATTTGAATAATATAGTGTAGGACCATACCTATATAAGGCATATTTATACTTTTTTTTTTTCAAAATACCAAGCAGATCATGCATTTTAGCCATGCCTCATTTTGCTCAATTTGAAATGTTTTAGCTCTGTTTTGGCAAGGGTTGATTCTGTGAGAACAGCGCCACCTACAGGCCTGGCATATGTACTACAGCGTCTCCAGCGCTTTCGAACGGCAATGGCCGTGGCTGTCTCCTCCTGATTGGTGGAGTTGGCCCAATAGCCGTAGCACCACCGTACTGACGTCAGGACAGTGTTCAAATCTGGATCAGTCTGTATCAGATCCGTTGCAGCCCCTTTTTTAGAGATTTGGGTATGGAGGAAAATAGAGAGGGTTGTGTTTTCTGACACTTGGTGAGTTCCCTGGAACACCGGGGACACATATTCATGTATAAAAGACGTACAAAAGTGCATTTTGCATGATAGGTCCCCTTTAAATATTTTAATGTAATATGGGTCGAAACTCAGGATATAATTTTCTGGAGCTTGACCAAAGCAGTGAAGAATGTTTGAAGATGTGTTTACATTGTTCAACTTGCAATTGCTGATATATTCATGCAGGTTTGTGTGGAAATTAAATGAGTAAAAATGAACAAAAATAATCGTACTGAGCCAATTACTGATATGTCTAGCCCATCAACCATCCCCAGTAGTAAAATGACTATTTGGTCAAAACACAGTGTATTGATTTAGGTATAATCTTTTAGTCCTTACATAAAGTAAATGAATTCCTCCCTATGAGCTCCAACCACAACAGTGTTACTGTGGTGTGAGTCATGCCTTATAACCACCTTTATCTCATGGTTCATTATTTTCCAGTAAACACTGAGGTGATTGTCAGACTCAGTGACACTGTGGGGTGAGAGTACACACTACCCGACATCATTTCACACCTTCGTTGAGAGGCAGAAATAATCAGTGAACTCCTCTGGTGTCGTCTTTGACTGGAACGACCACCTGCAGACTCTCAGCCCTTCTTGACCCCCTGGTCTGAGATGACACTAATGTTATTCATTTCAAAAGGCTTTTGTATGAACACATATGTTGCCACCTCAGTTGAGTATGTGGGATAACGATCCTAGGAGTATCACCTACATAAACACATAACCCTACATGATTCTTGATCATTCCATTGGAGAGCTCTTCTTTGCTCTTTAACGGAGTAATGGAGGGAAGGTTGGCATTTTAGAGTAACGGACCGTCCACACAGCAGCGTTAAAAAAATCTTGGAGGTGGGCGTATCTGAAGCTTGGGGATTTTTTGCGAGCAAGGCACCAACAACCTATCACATGAATCTCCCGCCCCCGACATACGAAGCAAAAAAGTTTGAAGTAAACTGGATATAAACTCCCCAAACAGGCGAAAACCTACCACTGTCTCTGCCACCTCCCTCCATGCCTGGCTCCTCCGGTTTGTATCCCGGTAGGTAAATAGGGACTGGTCATAAAGCACCGGGTGATTCCCTACCGCTAATTTCTCCTCCATTTTTTGGAATATGAGGAAATGACCTGCGGTATGTCTCTCCCAGCATACACGCGGTTTGATTGGCTAGCGCTTGAACGGTCAGATTTGCATACACGGGATTTGATTGGCTGACGCTTCCACCTCAGCTTCAAAAGTTGAACATTGCTCAACTTTGAATCCTGAAAATCCTGAAAATCTCCGCTCGCCTGCCCACAATGCAGTTCGGCGAAAAGTGAGGCAAATGACGTCACCCCATTCAAAGTGAATGGGCAGAAGCGTTTCAAGATTTTTTAACGCTGCTGTGTGGACGGGCCGTTAGTCCTAATCTTGGAAATGAGTTACGAATCTATTACTTCCAGGTTCCTCTGTCTCGAAGTCAATGTTTTTTTAATGCATGTTTTAAATTGTTGATTGGATGCCTGAAAAAATGGCTGTGGTTAATACAAGCTTACAAGATGTTCACCTTTTGTCCTACGATATAAAATACGTTAGTAAATACCCCTCTACTAGTGTCTGAAGATTTGGCTTTTACTTAAAAAAGGTGGTTGCTAACCAGGGACTACATGAGGCTACTAAACGTCATCACATTATTAGCCGCTGTTAGCTTAGCAATGGTGACGCAAAGTTATGAATCTCAGCTGTTTATTTCTGGCAAACAAGTATCAAAACGTGTTTGCCACAGAGTTATTCTCTGAGATCCATAATATGATATGTCAGCTAATTGCTTGTATTTCATGTTTCGAAGGTGAATGGAGACGGTGAGGGCACCAGCGCTATTGGACCTGATGGAGAGGTGAGCTGCAGAGCTTTAAGTTGTTATTTGTTGCTTTTTTTATTGTATTTTTTTTGACATTTTTGGTCATAAAATACTGTGTATCCGTTTGTTTGAATCTGCTATTATCTTATTCTAATAACCAGGTAAAAAATGTGACGATGTAGAAGAGTTTGTTGATCTGCATCTCCACTTTAACAAAGCTTTATCAAATCTAGCCCACAACTTGACTTTTTTGTTTCGCTCTTACAGCTTTCATAGCATTTTCAGCATTAAACAGCAGATGGACACAGTAACAAAACGAGCTGGTAGACAGGAGTGTTTAGCAGAAAAGGAGCCGGATACTCCTGTGGAAATTGGTGGTGACCAACATTGAGCTAAAAGCTATTGAATAGTTGTCTTTTATTCATCAGATGGACCTAACTCTAAATGACTACTCATTTTGTGCTGGATGTGTAAACATGCTACTGTTTAGTCACAAGTTCAACATAATAACATAAAACAATAGTTTAAATGTCAATTTTCTGTTTCCCCCCTTAATTATAAGAAGACAGAACAGTAATAAGGTCATTCAAACAGCATTTTTAATCTCACACTCCTACCTGATTCATTGATGGATCTCTTGAAGATATATAACTATCGCGGTATTCTCCTGGTGATATTTACTGCTCTGCTGCTTACTGAGAAGGTTATTACGGCTGCGGAAACCAAACCCGCACTTGACTTCAGCATTCTAAATGTGCTCTGGCAGAAATGAAAAGAGAAATCATATCAAACAATAATAATCCTTTCAAAGGCTGACTGAACCCCAGGTGATGGTACTTTCAAAGAAAATCCACCTCTTGTAAATAATGCAACAAACAAACTCCATTGTTTATTCTCCCTTACAGCCTGCCTCAGATTTTAATTGAGCTACCTTTGTCTCCTGTTAGGAATAGATACGCTAAAGTTTAAAAACACTCATTGAATCCCTCAGTGGTTGAAATCCTAAATGTTGCATGCTAATCAATCATGATATCATATTATCACTCCTTGCAGCATTTCAAACAAGAATAAGTGAGTTAGGAACAGAACTTAAAACACGGCAAATGTCCAGATCAATTCATCATCATCACGGCAACTTGCTGAAATTATGAAATGCATGATTAACAAATGCCAATTTTCAATAATAACGAGCATTTATATACATTGATTCAAGTGAGTTCAATGCTCACACGCAAGGCAATCCAGCAAATATAGACCCAGTGCCTTAAGCTAGAAGAAGAAGGGGAAGAATGCCGAGCAAATGTTTGATAAAGACATAAGGAAAATAGACGTCTGGGGTTTTGTCAAATGGCAAAGAACACGTGAAATGTTCCTTTCAATTTAAAAGAGTTACTTTTTCTGATTATTGTTTTATAACTTTTAGTTCCTCTTTTCAGGGAAACAACAGGGGGCGATGTTCTCCTACTTCCTCTATTGTCGATCTGATCATCCAATATTTACATCAAGTTATAAATTGCTTATACAAAATGTTTTTTAGCATATGCAGCCATGCAAACAGCAAAAGATCAGCAGCTATGAAATAAAGAGTTCACCTTCATTTGTTGAGATAATGTAGTTTATTGCTCGTATGTCTGGATGACTGAGACGTTCAATTCATTATGCTAAAGCCTAACATCTTACATGCTTTAGAGCAGTGGTTCTCAACCCTTTTTCAATAATATACCCCCTTTGAAAAAGAAATTCAGCCTAGTACCCCCTGATCAGCGCAGAAACAATGTGTTAGGGAATAAAAGCATAAAAAGGGAGAGTACAGCGCTGCACCATCAGTGTCTGATTTATTACAACAACAACATTGTAACTGAGAAACACTTAAATGCTACATTTCAAATGTTTACAATCCATCACTAAATTCATGGCAAACCAATTTCAACATCATGCAATAACACTAAGACGACATTGAACTGATCTTTTTAATAAGTTGTACTTACAATTTAGTGAGAAACATGGGCTTGTGCTTCCCTGAGGATCATGAGGCAAACTGCAGTTATTACACTTCGCGTTTTTAAATATGTGTAACTCTGTTAATATAAAACCCACACTGCTCAAACTTCGTTACTTTTCCTAAAATTGGTATATTTATTTATTTATTTATTTATTTTGAGGCGTGGGGAATGAAGAGAAACAAATATATGATAATTTTATGAGCATGGGATTTTGACCCCTCATATAAACATATGCATAATAGAGTGCCACAGTGACGTGTCCTAAAACCCGGAAGTAAGCTGCGCATGGGTTCCTTCGACAAAAAAGCAATGGGATTTCTCCATAGGATTTTGGAAAATAGCTCGAAATAAGGTCTGTGGTTGACACACATTTAAGAGACGGATCACGTTTTGTTCAGTCGGATAATCTCCACATGTCTACCCTACTTTTATAATTTTCGAATCATAAATGTAATCGATAGATTTATGATCGATAGATTTATGATTGTGGCACTCTATGCTGCGCTATGCTGCGCTATACTTTGCGGCCACACGCCGTTGCCAAGCAACGCTTATTGTTTAGGTCCTTTGATAAGCCGGCAGTCATATCATTATCTAGAACTAGCAAGATCTGATAGATTTGGACATAAACGCGAGTGAAGTATAACCGGACGCGAGAGAGAGATCAGAGATCAGATCAGCTGCTGCTGACGGAAAACACGCAGCTCTTCTGGATCAAAGCTCCCCCGCTGTGACGGACCGTTGAGCGGAGCAAAAGACACTAAGAGTTAGACCTAACACACTTAGCTAGTTTATCTACTCTGGAACTAGCTAAACTAGTTATACATATATTTATTCTTTACTGTCGGGTCACTTAGTACAGGTTCAGCGAGCTGCACGAGACTGACCGGCTGTCAGGAGAGGGAGAGGAAAAGAGAGCACCCCGTTTATTTTTCCCATTTTATTATCCAGAATTACTGCAAACTTTTGAATAAAGTAGTTAATCTACTATTAGTAGTTTGTTTAAATGCATTACTTATGTTGTTTTTTTTCATTAACATAAAATAAATCTCACGTACCCCCTGCAGTACTCCAACGTACCCCTAGGGGTCCGCATACCCCCATCTGAGAACCACTGCTTTAGAGAACACTCAAGTATGTTTTGAAAATGGAAGGGTTCTGTTAAAATGCTAAAAACATTGTTTACAACATGTTTCACCTTGTGGTTTGTTGTTCCTGCAGCCTATGGACGAGAGCAGCCAGACGAGTGAGCTGCCGGTCAAAGTGATTCAGACGGAGACCGGGAAAGTTTTGCAGGGAACGGATGCTCCCAAATCCGGCCAGCTGGAGGCCTGGCTCGAGATGAACCCTGGGTGAGGAAGAAGCACTCTCTACTGTTGTCAACCTCTGACAAATTAAAGGGATGTTAGAAGGGATGCAACAAATTCACTTTTGTCAGCCAATACCCAACACCGATGTTTAGAATAACAATGTGGCAAATGCCGATACTGATCTTCTCTGGTGATCTTTCAGGGAAACAAATAAATCTTTAATCAAGATATTATTATACTGCGGGCTGCTGTATAGCTCAGTTGGTAGATGTGGCGTGTACTCGGGCTCGGTCCCCATGCGTAGGACCATTTGCCGTGTGTGTTCTCCTCTGTTTCCCCCTTTCATCATTGACACTTTAATAAAGGCACTGGTTGCCTATAACATTTTTTTTAAATGAACCGCCTTTCAGTTCTTCATCACACTAACTTTGAATGAGCACAAATCCCTAAAAATAACTTCTTTATAATAAATAAAACAGGCTTAGTTTATGAATGTGTAAGGGCATGTCGAAGGCATTTTAGTCAATGAGTGAATATTGTGAGTTCAGTCAGATGGCACTATTTTGCCTTTTTTTTCTTTTAAATAAGGATACATCTTTGCAGACATGCTGTGATCTAACATGTTTATAAGGACAGAATTGTGAGGTTCTTACATTTTAAAGTCATATATAGTATGTCAAGCGTAAGTGAGGATTCCACACCCTAAATAAAGTAAGAAAGCCCCTTTCCTGGCAGGTTTAGATTGCTGCTTGGTAATTCTGCCGTGTTCATTATTTTGATGTGTGCCTGACAGAAAATAAATATAGTAACTGTACTTTCTTTTTCCATTGGTTTTCTCCTCTATATATCAGGTATGAGGTGGCGCCGCGGTCGGACAGTGAGGAGAGCAGCTCAGAGTTTGAGGAGGAGGTCAGTCACTTTCTCATTAGTGAGATCCCACAGAGGATGATGTCAGATCAGCATCACTCTGCTGCACTGATTCAAATCATTCAAACCTTATTAATAAGCATTTCAGCCACGTCAGAACAACTGCACACACTGAACACACATCAACATCCACCAGGGGGCTGTAGCTGTATGCACTTCAGTAATCATCTTCAGAGCTACTTCCGTCTCTGCTGTTGTTAATATATTAAGTGTTCCCTCATGTCATGTTTTATCATACAAGGATGAAGAGGAGGGGGCCAAAGCTGAAAGAAAAGAAGAAATTGAAGAAAGGAAGATAATCGATCCCAGTGGAATTGAGGAGTTTGTCGCTGATACCACGGATATTATTCTGTAATGTATTATGGTTACTATACATCACACTTTGTCAGTCCAAAGTCCAATCTTTAGCTTACTTAGTTAGTTCAGTGTTTCTGTTGTAAACATTTGTTTTTGTTTTTACCAAGTGGAATTATTAAAAAATATATCAATAATAATAATATGATTAATAAGAAGAAGCAATAACAATAATGACGAGGATGATATTCTTTGTATTGTTATTGTTATTGTTAAGAATAAGAATACACATTTTACATATTTATTGTGCTTTTCTAGGTACTCCAAGACACTTTCCAAAAACACTTCATTCAAGTTTCATACAACAAATATAAATGAATTAACAATATAAACAAACAAACAATAATAAAAAACAAAACAAAATGCAATTAAATCTAATTCGAGAAAATATAAATTAAAATCAAAGTAAACATTAAAAGATCGATTTTTTTACAAAACCAATAACAGTCTTCGGATATTCCCAACGGGTGCTTAGGAGGGAAGAGGTCCAAATAGTAGACACTGAGATGAGGGAAAGATACCCTCTTTCCTTTTTTTGATTCTCTTCTCTTTTACATGACACATTCAGGTCGGCCATTCAGGTGGACGATGAGTACAGTGTTCCTACCGGACAAACCAGCACCGCGTCTTACTACGGTGCCGCCCATGCTGTCATTGAGAGGGTGGAGAAGCAGTCAACGCTGCTGATCAACGGCACACTCAAACATTACCAGGTATACACACACACACACACACACACACACACACACACACACACACACACACACACACACACACACACACACACACACACACACACACACACACACACACACACACACACACACACACACACACACACACACACACACACACTTTAATTTCGTTACTGCTTTTGGCTATTTTCACTTTCTGCAAAACAACTTTTTAATAAAAGAAGCAAAGACATGCACATTTTATATTTAACTTATTACTTCGCTTTATATCAAAAAAGTAATTTTAAGTCTTTGCCAAAATCTTAAAGGTTCAACATTATTTATTTGAAATGATCAGAATGAAATGTAAGTTTTAGCCTCTGAAAGCTACACAGACATAGCATGGGAGTATATACATGTCAAATAAAACAATAAACACAATAAAACTTAAACAGTCTACTTCTATAAATATCACCTATTTTCTTAGAACTAACCACGACTCATCAGTTAGGTATTATAAAAGTGCAACTGAATTTGACATGGCAGCTGATGTGAATGTAAGAAATACTAAAATATGAATTACATTTCAGTAAAACACATGTCATTTTTAGAGAAAGAATCACTGTAATCCTTCAGTATCATGTGCATAAACAGTAGTTAAATTATGCCACAATGTCAAACTGAGTTCAAGTGTTTTTGGGAGTGTTTCTTTAACCAGTAGGGAAGCGTAAAGGCTTCTCCTGTAATTAAAACTGTGTTCAACCTCAGCAGAAGGACATTTTTGAGACTCAATCCATTCTTGAACAGTTAGTCTTTGTCCTCGCTGCCAAGAGACTCCAACACCAGACAAGTCTGATTTGTTTTGATCAGCTTGCGAGTTTTGAAGCTTGTAACGGCATAATTACAAGTAATTTAACGTCACAGCAGGCATAACAACAGCCGGTGTTTCTCGTGAGTGTTTTCCCCGGGAAACAAACAATACACACAAACGCAAAAATACGGATGGATTCCAGAGAAGAGGAAACTTTAAAGGCGTTTTTCTCAAAATGATGACTCGGTGACAGTCATTATATAATGTGACATATTTTGCTTAATATTTGGAGTACAACAACAATCCTGATATCATTAGAAAGCTAGGAATCTCCTCTTTCCAACAGTGTATACAACTCAAAATGTGTCTTCGGGTCAATGCAACTGATTTCGATAGAGCAGGTCACATATATAGTTATTATATATAGTTATTAAGTGATAAACTCTTTTGCTTGAAGTATAGGCAGGTTACAAACCCACTTATCTTTCAAAACATCTACAATTTGCGCATAATGATTGAATCAAATCAAATCAAATCAAGTTTTATTTATATAGCACATTTTAAAAACAATTTTTGGTCGAGCCAAAGTGCTGTACATGCAATAAAAAACACTTTACTGCGATAGCAAACAGAAGACAATAAATTACAACAGCAAATATAAAAATCAAACACAGGGAAATGTCATGAGTCGTGCTCCGCTCTGACTAGAAGGCTGATTTAAAAACCCCTAGGGTCTGGGCCGACCTCACATGGAGGGGCAGACTATTCCAGAGCCTAGCGCCAGCTGCTGAGAAGGCTCGGTGACCTCGGGTTTTTAGCCTGGTCTTGGGCACTACCAGCAGCAGCTGGTCAGCCGACCTTAAAGCTCTGGCTGGGGTGTAGCGATGGAGGAGTTCGGCTATATAAGCCAGAGCCAGCCCATTTAGTGCTTTATAAACAAATAAAAGGAGTTTAAAATCAATTCGGAACCGAATTGGAAGCCCGTGCAATGAATAAATGCTTAATCTGCTTTCATGGTTAAAGTAGTAGAAAAATGCAGAATGTGTATATTTTCGTAGGCCGAACCATAAGTTAGCATTGCAAGGGCAATTGCATTTTTCTGACCTATGGCAGAAAATAACATCTGTTGCAAACACACGTTTCATATCAACACTATTTTGATTGAAGCTTAAGGGTCAACGCAATCGGCAGGTGTAAAAAGCTAACGCTAGGCTATAAACAGACTACCTCAAGCATAACAACCGCTAAGCTAAAGGCTGCGAATGTTCGGCATGATATCTTTAGAGCAGGGGTCTCCAACCTTTCTTCATCTGAGAGCTACTTTCAAAAAATGAAAGTGGCCAAGAGCTACTTGCATCACATCGCTTACATTTATTCACATAGCCCTCATCAGTTGAATTAAGCTATACTTTTGTACACGTGTGAAATTGCAATACCTAAAGCTTATCAAAAATCTTAACTTCACATCAAGGTCCAAGAAAACGAAGATTTCTCACATATTATTATGGCCCACGTAATAAGTACATCACTTAACATTCACATAAGTGTCCTTAATCACCACCTTACAAGCATTTCACTCTTTTGTTAGTGAGATGAATGGCACTGGCAGTCCACCATACAGGTGTATGCTGGAGTGTACCCATTAGGTTCACTCTAATAGAGTCATTTAAATGTTCTTCAGTCAGTCTTGTTCTGTATTTAGATTTCATTCATGTCAGAAAAAGCTGCTTCACAAAGGTATGTAGAACAGAACCAAATAAAGCAGACATTTTCAGTGCTGCTTGGTGAATGTTCTATAGTTTTCTGGGTCTACAAGGCTCCAGAAATGTTGTGAGTTTTGCTGAGACTTAAGCTGAACATTATTTTGGAGATCTCCACAGGATTGACACTGAACAGTTGTTCAGCCATCTTTTTCTTCTTCTTCTTCGTCTTGACATTAAATTATAAACCATAATAAATTAATTGTATAGGTCTAGCCTCCCTATATCTGTGTGTGAAAATGGTTCCATCCTCAAAAACAAAAGACTAATGCTTCTGCAGTCTAGCTGCAGCTTCTAGCTACGGTCTTCTGTTAAAAAAAAGACACTGAATGTCCTGAATGTGGCATCACACACATGACTTGAGTCTGAACACAGCAGACAACAGGAGTATTTACAACAGCATTATAAAAACAAAAATAGTGCTTGTGGGTGCACACTTACATTCTCTGTCTTACTGTTACATAAATCCCATGAATGTATGAGATTAAGTTAGCTTCATCATATCTCAATCAGTGATTAAGTGAATAATAAAGTTTCTATCGGGTCACTATCAGCCTGTCACTCATTATTTTCAGGGAGGGGGCGGGGTTTGGAGGAACGGAGAGGAGACGGTGATCGCGGAAGCTTTCCTCCTGCCTTCACAAACTTTACACAAGTATTTATCAACTGAAAATAGCAAGAGGACATTCATACTCTGCAATCCAAGACTTGATTAAATCCACCAAAAACCTGACATGACGATAACGAGTGTTTTTCAAAAAACACAAATCCCTCCCTGTGTGTCTCTGAGGCGCAGCGACAGGGCCTGATTCAGAGCGGGTCATTCTACTGTTGGTTCTGGACTGGTGTTGGTGGAGAAAGCAGACTGCTCCGTGTGTGGTGTCGCTGTGCTGCTGTCACGTCTGTTCCTAGATCTCTGCGTCACCGACCATTTGATATTCGTGTGACAGAAACAATTCTAAAATAAAAAAACGTTATTGTCCAGCCGCGGCCGAAAAATCAATAAGCAACCTTACTACGCTATAATCGATAATCGAGCGGCGAGCTACTGAAAAGCTGCCCGCGAGCTACCGGTAGCTCGCGATCGACGTGTTGGAGAGCCCTGCTTTAGAGGGTCTCATTTAATCACATGTAGCATCTGGTGTTTTTAAGACTATTAAAAGCTTGAGACATTCACCAGTGGGATGTTTTCTGATGTATTGTATCTATTAAAACAAAAAACATTCGTAACATTGTGTTAACCACAGACCTTTTTTTCGGGGATCCAACCAAACTTTGACTTGAACTTGACTTTGAGAAGAGGGGGCCTGGAAAGGCAAAAATGCTAACTCATTCCCTGTTGTAGTACTCATTCCAGCACCGCTCTATTCTCACCAACAATCAGGAAGCTTCACATTTTTTAAAACCATCCTCAAAGCAAGCTAACGTCAGCACAACATTATTTGTCACACTGATTCTGTTCGATATTCCAAACGGATGGATTTTTATTTTTGCGTACCGTGTCTGTTGTTTTGGGTTTGTTTGTTTGTCAATCTGCCACAGGCAATGGATGCAAATCAGCTTCTAGCTATCTCTGGTGTAATTACTTTTAATGCCCCTGCAAATACAAAGAAAGAATAAATTAAAATGATGATACACAATTAAACAAGACTTGCAGGCACATCAAATTGTTATTTCTAGCTGTAGTTTTCCTATTCCATTGTGAATGATGGCGGACACAATCCTTTTTCTGTGCAAAAGAAAAAAGTTAGTGTTCTTGGTCGAAAGTTCCTTTGTTTTTTACGAATACCCGCCAGAGCTAGAGTTTTTGTTTATCAATTTTCTGCTGATAGACTAATTGATCACTCATTTCATACATATATATTTTGCATGTATTTTACATGATATAGAAATACATCTGCTGAATCATCTCATTCTCTTTTAGAGACAGTTGTTCGTAACGCGTAACAATGCACCTACATTGTTTTCCAGTGAGACGCCATAATCCTGTCTCTAATGCAGTGGGTGTTTCTTAATGTCGAGGAAGGCTCCTCCAGAGCCACTATTTCAAGGATGCTACGTCATCGAATCCCGCCGAAGGACTGTTCCAATGTCCAGGATCCTTGGATTTCTACCGAGGACAGAATCCTTCGTTGCGGGAAATTTCGAGGATGCACCAGTGTATCCTCCGCCGTCTTAAAATCCCCACAATGCTTTGCGCACGGACCAATTTCCAAAATCTTTGGCGGAAAATTTAAGGCGGGGCCTCTCATATGACGCACACCTGCACACTTGCTAGCCGGTCCCATTCTTCGTTCTCCGAATGAAAGGAAGGATTCTTGCCTAGCCTCTGAAAGACCTGACTCGCAGGGACATGTCCTACCAAGGAAGCGTCCTCGACATTGAGAAACACCCAGTGAGTGTGGATGGCAGTGAAAGATGGCGTATTACAAGAGATAGGGAACTGGCAATTGGATGCAGCTAACATTTCCTTTCTTCCAATCCTGGCAATCCTCTGATTTATGGCCTGGCAGGCTTTGAATGAGATCTTGTGGCAGCTCTTTGGGGAAATTGGAGCGACGTCAGCTGTGTAATAATTTGACAAATCGTCGGCTGTGAGACCGAATACTTTATTGACGAAAAAAATCTGATGGTCGTCCGTCATTTAAGCAGGTTGAAACAATGAGGGCGATCCATTGTAGCTTTAAATAATTCACGGCACGTTAAAGACTTTGGAGCCTCCTTTCTCCTTTTCTCTCCTCTTTATGACGCAAGTGCTTGCAGTATTGGGAAATAAAAACCCATGTTCAGAGAGTGTGGGCAACTTTTGATCGCTCATCTGGGAGAAATGTTCCCCGACTTCATGACTTTGTCTGAAGTGGCCCTGTTTGGTAATTCCTGTCACCAGTTTGGCAGCAGGCTCAGCCGTTTCTTGGTGCATATAAAAGGTCTGCAGAGGCTAAAATCCCAAAGTTCCCTCCAGAGGGAGTGTCTGGGAGAGAAAACGCTTCAATTGGACTCCGTTGTTTACTTCTGTCAAGCATCATCACTATGTAACATTCATGCTCTTATTTGGGCTCCAACACATTGTACGTGATAGACTAAAGGGCCACTCTAAGCAGTTGATCAATCACAACAGAGCCGGCCAGCTAACCAATCAGAGCAGACTGGGCTCTGGTTTCAGACAGAGGGTGAAAAGAGGTGCTGCAGCACAGGCATTGTGAGAGAAATAAAGAGCTTTTTGAACATTAAAGCATGGAGACATGTCCCAGTAGAGGATCAAAATACAAATATGAACCTGAAAATGAGCATTATAGAGCCTCTTTAACATGAACATTAAGGACCATGTCCTTGTAAAAGCATCATCTACGAGCTTGTTTTTTATATTGATTATTTAAAAAAAAAATGATGTGCTATTAAATATGTTTTACTTTCACCACCATACAAAGATTTAAGTGAAAATGACGTGTAATAAAAGATTACAAGAGACATTTTACGACCCTGTCCGTCAAAATGATGGACAGCGATTAAAGCCGTGGTGCGAACAGCGGTCTATGTAACACACCTGCATTTAGAAGCTTCACATTTATATAGCACAGTATTTTATTCCTCATAAATGTTACCCTTTACCTGCTGTCAGGCTTTCTGGTAATGCGGTAGATAATTGGTTGGCTTCCCCTTTCCGGCTGCCGGTGCCCTCGCGCCCTTCCCTTTCCTCAGTTCTGTCTTTTTGCTGATTGTTTTCCCCAGGCGAGACACATAATTGGTAAAACAGTTGACATTTTGCCTCCACGTTTGAATCACTGGGGATATACAATTCCAAAGAGGCGATGAGATCAAAGTGCATTTGCAAAACTTACTCTGACATCCATTATATAAAGGTTTTTACAATAACATAAAGGCCGGCGTAAGGAACAAAAAGTTTCTGTTTTTTTTTTATACAGTTTTAACTTTTTCTTCAATAATTAATAAGCCATAGAACAGTAAAATACATCAGCAACTATTTCTATAAAATCGACTCTCATTTTTTCAGTCAATTGTAAGGATTAACTGTGTCGCCAAAAAAGCCATTTAAAGAGACCGCCCTCAGCTTTAGAAACTAGCAAATAGGCATTTGTCATTATTTTCTGATCATGACTAAACAATTTAAACTGAAAATAATCAGCAGGTTTATCAATAACAAAGATATGTTTTAGTTGCTGCACTATTTGTTTAGCGAACAGGAGAGATTTAACTCGAGGGAAGTAGTGACGTTTGCATATGACCCATCTGAGTCATTTGTATTCAGATTGTCATGCCTGCCCTTATCAAGGTTCTTTACCTTCTCTTTTTATACTTTAATTTCGTTTTTTGTTTATTTGTTTACTTGTAAACATATCTCTTTATTTTTTAACTGTTTTAGTATTTAAAAAAAGTTCTATAGCTTGTCCTATTTTGGCTCCGTTTTTACAGCTTATTTTCCGTACTGTGTTTGTTTATGTACAAATACACACCAATCGAAATGCCTTGAATGTGTAAACCTACTTGATTCTGATAATAATGTATTCTGGTCTTAAAGACATAAACTTTTAAATCAAGCAGCGTGAATGATATTTCTCTGCAAGCATATTTTTAGGCATACCTCTATTTCTCTGTGTGTTTTCAGGTCCAGGGGCTGGAGTGGATGGTGTCTCTGTACAACAACAATCTAAACGGCATCCTGGCTGATGAAATGGGCCTCGGCAAAACAATCCAAACCATTGGCCTTATCACCTACCTGATGGAGCACAAGAGGATCAACGGGCCCTTCCTCATCATCGTTCCTCTCTCGTCAGTACTCCGTCACAGCTCTCATATTGCAGTGTTATGAAACAGTACAACATTTTTTACAATTTCTTTCAGAAAATATTAGAAATTGAAACAGCCAACCTAATTAGTCTAAATGACAAGATAGGGCTGTAATGGAGAAGAGGTGAGTGAGGATTCCCGCCCCTGATTGATGCACCTGTTTGCTCAAATTAGATTCAGGCTACAGGTGCGCACACTCGTCTGCTACAAAGTCTGCAAACACAATCAGTCTCTAAAACACCAGAGTTTCACTCCCTCACCAGTGCTATATTTCAGTTTTTAATGTCTGTTAATACAAAAACTAACCAACTCTCTTTGTAGACATGAGTGGGCTGCGGATACATCCCATCATATAAATGATAGGCGCTGAAGCTTAAGTGGTAATCAAGTATTATTGGATTATAAAATGACCCTTACACTTAGGGGTGCATACCGGTTCCCGGTATTACCGAAATACCGGTTACTGGTGGCTACGGTATACCGTACCGAAATCAGATCCGGTTTTCGATACTTCGATAAGATACGAAGACAAAAAGTAAGTAGACTATCATTATTGAACAAAAGTAAATATAGAGGCAACTCATGTTAATAAAATATATTCAAATAAGTACACATCCATGGTAAACATAGTAAGTGAACATAATAATCAGCTAAAGTAGCAGCCAGTAAGAACATTAGAAAAATGAATAAAAAGTGTACATTGCACATAACACTGATGTGTCTTTAACAGAAGTGTCAAGGGAGTGGAGTGGCAGTAACAACACAAATGAATTACTGATTACATATATCACATAAGAAGTGTTATTGCACACCAGTGTGTTGTAAACATTTTATGCACATTTTCCAACTGGGAAAGTTTCTCAGACTTACCCTTCCTCCAAGTAGAAGAGAGTCCTTATTATTATTCTCTTGTAAATAATTGGACTGGTATAGTCTAGTGAATTATTACATTATCTTTACATTTGTGTAGCTTGTTTTTCTGTCTCCGCTTATTGAAGTGATCAGAATTCTTTTTTTTGGTGTTACTATAATGTCTGTTCTTAAGTTGGTACATTCATTCTTGGCTGCTTGACAGATGATTTGGTCCCGGTCCATTTCCGTAGTAATGACCTCGACAGACTTGTTTTAAATGTTTCCTTGTGGGGGGCAATATATTTTACATGAGCCACCCAAAACTCCTGCAAGTTAAACATTTCTTTCTAAACACTTTGAATGCTGATTCACTCAAAAAGGCACAGCATGAACAGAAACTTCTTAGCTCAGCGACATTAAAGGGGCCCTGTTATGCGTTCAAATTTGTATTATGTGCCTCTACTGTGACATGTCTCCATGCTTTAATGTTCAAAAAGCTCTTTATTGTTCTCATACTGCCTGTGCTGCAGCACCTCTTTTCACCCTCTGTCTGAAACCAGAGCCCAGTCTGCTCTGATTGGTTATCTGGCAGGCTCTGTTATGATTGGTTGACCGCTTAGAGTTGTCCCGCCCCTTAGCCTATTATGTACAATGTGTTGGACTACTAACCAATAGAAGCGAAAGTGTAAGATAATTATGTCATTATGTCGCGGAAATAAACCATCAGGTTCAATCGATGGAGTTTCAAAGATAGAACTTAGAATGAATGGACAAACCAATATATATGTTGATTCTTCCAGCAGCCAGTACCAATGTGCCTTATACTGTACGTTGTTAAACCGTCGCATTGATAAATACAGCCCAGCAATGTGCAAATGATTGTTCACTGAAGATTGCATGGATTTAGGGGCAACGTCAAATAATATTAAGCGGCGGGACAGTTGTGAAGGAATGATTACCTTACCGCTGCAGACAAATTCATTGAATCTAAACAAAAACAAGAATTGCGTGACAAAATCAAGCAAATCCCAATGTCAGCTACAAGAAAAACCAGAACATCTGAAATATGAGCAGACGATGTACTGTCACAGCTTGATGCAGCTGTTCAGAGGTATGCAAAGATTCACTATGCATATCCTTAGCCATTGATGAGTCTACAGCTGTATCGGATAATAACCAGGTTCTGGTCTATTTGAGATTTTTTCACAAAGAGAAGAAAGACGTCTGTGAGGACCTTTTGGGTGAGATACACAAAAGGAGGGTACTCGCTATAGGACTAATTTCATTTATATTGGTTTCAAGTGCCACCATTTGTTGTATGTTAAGAGTATCATACTTGGAACATTTGTATGGTAAGGGAATATACTGTGTTTTAATTTATTTGACGGACATATTGTTTGGACCTTTGATGGGAGGACATTTCAGTAACTGGACCTCTTCTACATTTTATTGAATACCGCTGCACTACAGCAAAGGGAAAAAAACCCAAAAGACCCAATAGGGTCCCTTTAAGGCTACAAACAACCCATAATGCATCATCCTGCAGGAGTCTTTGTTACACGAGTAGAGTTTCTGAATATGGTGTAATCTACACCCCTCAAACATAGTTATTTAGAAAATAATCTCATGTTCTTATAGTTTGGAAGTTTTCTGCGTATTTGTGCTCACAAAACTTAAGCAAACCCTCTAGCTAAAACAAATTGCAAAACTAAGGACCCATTAAATTGTTCCAACCTATAAACTTCATCACAAAGTTAGGTCAATGTTGTTCTTGCAGCTATCCCTTCATTTCACTATTCCCCACCTTCTTTTGTTTTAAATACAGATATTGGAATCCCTTCAAGCATTCATTTAAATGTGAACATGTTTGATTCCCTCCTGCTGTTTTCCCACAATTAATCCATTTAAATTAATCAAATACAAACCAACTCAAACGGCTTGGATCAGCACCTCTCCAAGGTGGACCAGGCTTACGCTTGTTTCAACCCCACTCCCCCCCCCAAAAACCATGTAATTGGGTTAATGCTCCTGGGTTATGTTCAGCCTCTTTAAACATTTCCCCTCATTAGTACTTGTTTTTTCATGATAATTTACTGCTAGGATTAGAACGAACCCTTTTTTTTTTGCACACCACCCTTTTTTTAATCATTACTGAGGGGTCGCTGTTTGTAGTCAAACTGTGCACAGCAGAGGCTTGAGCTCAGCCTTTGTGTTAAATGTTCTTCTTTAATGTGCACAGGGAACCGATGTGGAGGAAAGCCTTAAACTCGCCCTCTTTCACTCGTAGTTGTGTGTTGGGAAATTGAAGTTAATGAGGAGAGAGATTGGTCTGCCTGGGGGGGCCGAAAGTAAAACAAAGTCCTCTCACATTGTGAGCGGCATCTATTTGACCCTTTTGAAATATTTTGCACTTCAAGGGATTTTCTTTTCTTTTAAAGATTATCCAGCAAATGATGTCTTAACCTAGATTACATTTTAATGATTCCCCTTTTTGATGTGTGATCACATTACACGTTCTGGCTCTTTACTGAAGACCACTTTCTTCAGTGTAAAATTGTGTGGTGATTTCTTTTTTTCTTCCCCCAGGACTTTGTCTAACTGGGTGTATGAACTTGACAAGTGGTCCCCCTCTGTGGTTAAGGTTGCTTACAAGGTAAATGTCAGTTTTTGATGTGACTTTCCCTTTTTCCCCCCCTTTGATTGCTTTTGTCTAAACTTTCTTTGTGTCTATCCCGTGGTAGGGGACCCCTGTGTTGCGCCGTGGGCTTGTGCCTCAACTTCGCAGTGGGAAGTTCAACGTCTTGCTGACCACTTATGAATACATCATCAAGGACAAGAACATACTGGCCAAGGTGAAGCAGATCAAAGCTTTTTTCAGCTCTACAATTTCTCGCCTGCACTCTATCTGCCATTTTCTCCCTTCGTACTCATGCAAACCCACACTGTCCCACACCAATTACAGATATATCTTCTTTTATATACTTACATTTCTTAAAGCGTTTTCTCTACAGCTTTTCTTATCTGTGGTTAAATGATTGACACTTCATCAGGAAAGTGCCAGAAATACTTTGAAAGTCACTTTACTGCCGAATTCAAGGACATGGTGATAACAGAGCAAGTACCTAAATCAAGATTGAGTGTTGTTTGGGTCTAACACAGCAGAAGAAATCTGTATCTAACCTTAGTGGCAAAACAGCCCCTGCAAACATTTAACAGTCCTACATTGAATGTTAACCGTCCCAAAAACGAAATGTTTATTTAAAACCATTTTAATATCTAGAGTTGTTAGGTATAATGGCAGTATATGAAAAGCACTGTAACTAATGGTGGTGCTGTGTAGTTTCAGCAGGGAGATCAGCTGTTTTAGCCTCTCTAAACTTAGAAAATGTCAATAAATGAACTCTTCACACATATTTCCCTTATGAAACAGAAAAATAAACCTGTGAAACTAATGTTAGTCAAACTAGGGAGGAACAAACCACCACCAACTTACCACTTAATTACCGAGTTGATAGAACAACAACAGGTTGCATATTCAGCTGTGTGTGTGGTTTTATAGTCAGCAGACAATGACAGTGAAATAGGCAATACATTACATTACATGTCATTTGTTAGACGCTTTTATCCAAAGCGACTTACATACATTCAGTACTGTGGACAATCCCCACAGGAGCAATTTGGGGTGAAGTGTCTTGCCCAGGGACACAACGACATGCTGACTGCAGTGGGACTCGAACTTGGTACCCCCTGATTCGAAGTCCAGCACTCTATCCACTGAGCCACAGCTGCCCACTACACAACTACAGTTGTTTTGTTTATTTGTTATTTTGATCATACAGTGATAACTTAGCTAATTTAAAGCTAAGGCACAAATCTAGGGCTGATTGGCTCAGTATTATGCAAGATAAGCTGTTTACATAGACAAAGATGTTACACACACTCGCTTATACACACACACACAATGACTCACACGTGACTACTTCCTTTGGCGGAGATAAAGAAGACATTAGGCGTATGTTGGACATAATAACATTGCTGCATATGTCCTTAATTTTCTAGACAATGAGCTGTTTTTTGTTTATACACTCAGTGCTGCAGACATTCTTTTTAACTTCCCCACACAATGTAGAAAACCCTTCATATTTGCCTTGGTGTACTGTGTGTTTGTGCCTCGGTACATGAAAGAAAGGTTTCTGTTCGGCGCTTCAAGGAGCAAGCACCCAGACACACACGTACACATTTGTCAGACTCCTCTTCCATTGTAATGCCCGAAGTGTGCACAGCACGTTGTTCAGTCCATGGTTTGAAGTATTCTCTGGAGGGAAGAGTGGGACTTATACTCAGCAGTCAATATTGGCAACTGAGTAGACCTTTGAATGACTTTATTTCAGGAGAATTTTCAGTTTTTGAATTCAGAAAGCTTTGTATTACAACTACATTTTATAAAACTGCCGTAAGTCTAATAAACTTTGGTGGCAAGTATCTGAAATAATTCATTCTAAATAATAACATTTGCTGTTTTTATTTGTTTAAATCACTTTTTTACTCTTAATTTCAAGCAACAGTACATCATGTTTTAATGTTTAAGTACACTCTGTTTATATGCTCAGTAGATTGGTATATAAGGGAGTATTCTAATTTATTCTGTATATTCTATAATGTGAGATACTCCTCTGAATATAGGTCTTAGAGAATGTGTATATATATATGTTTTTATTCTAAAATGTTAAATATCTATCTTTATTTGATGTCATTTTTTTTTGACAAAGTCATTTTTCAACTTGTGAGGAATAAAGTATGATTGTCTGTCTGTCTGTCTGTCTGTCTAAAAACTTTTGGTTCAAACTTTTTTAATACCATATGAAATGAGATCGGGAAGGAGAAACTTCTGATTTGTATGCAGCAGTGTTGTACACCCTGAGGGTAGTCGTTGCAGGAAATCAAACTTCGCGATCAATAGTGTTTTAAATGAAAATATTTCACTGTTTCAAAGTGTAAAAATAAGGGTATAATAACTCCCCTCCCTCATACAGATTCGTTGGAAGTACATGATTGTGGACGAGGGTCACCGGATGAAGAACCACCACTGTAAGCTGACCCAGGTGTTGAACACTCACTATGTGGCCCCGCGCCGCCTCCTCCTCACCGGCACCCCCCTGCAGAACAAGCTGCCCGAGCTGTGGGCCCTGCTCAACTTCCTGCTGCCCACCATCTTCAAGAGCTGCAATACCTTCGAGCAGTGGTTCAACGCCCCATTCGCCATGACAGGAGAGAGGGTACGTACGACCAAATACTGCCTGCTTTCTTAACTCTGTTCCATTTGCTGTAAGATTAACATCTGAAGGTGGACGTGGGTCATATAGATTTTTTGTGCAAATACACTCATTTCGTATGTCCGGGGTTTATTCCAAGTACAAGAATCACATATCACAAAGTTTAATTGTTGTTTTACTTTTATGTATGCACCACGACACCTAGTCAAATTCCTCGTAAGTGTAAACCTACCTGGTAATAAACCTGTTTCTGATTCTGATTCTGATTCTGAAAGCAAACTAGTCTAACAATTCTAGATTTTTTACAAGATGTGATCCTTTATCAGGATATTGATACGTGATTTTTTAAACTATTTTGTGTTTCACAAGACAAAACTTAAACTCTGACTAAAGATCTCTAGGGAATTGAACCGTACACTGCTTTGTGACATCATTATTAAATCTGTGTTCATATTTTATACAACTGTATTTCACTTATATGTGCCTGAGCCATGCATCTTATCTGTACATCCCTCTAACCCTGCACCTTTCTTTGTAAATCATTATTTCATATTTGTACATTTATTTCATATTCATATAAAAGTGTCTGTATCTTTCCTCACAATTGCAACAACTGTGATATTGTAATCAATATGTGCATATATTTTAACCTCATGCAAACTGCATTTCGGTGTACTATGCCAATAAAGTTGAATCTAATCTAATCAAATCTAAAAAAATACGTAATTTCCCATCAGGAAAGCAGCTTGCACAGGTTCAAAAATATGTTTTGCCTCCCTGGGAATACTTAGCCCTATTGCTTATAAAACATGGGTTGTATAATACCTGTACTAAACATCAATGGGTACATCTTTTTGAAAGCTTTTTTATTTAGTAAATCAAGACTTACCAGGTGAGACTAGATAAGACAGGACTTAATACATTGTGTGACATGACAAAAAGAACAAGGCAAAAAAAAGGTGTTTTATAAGTATATATTGTGAATATGGAGCAGAACCAAAAAAGTGAGTGAGAAACAATTGTTATGTGTTCTTTGTATATCAGGTTGTCCTGGGGTTTTAATGTAGTGTTAATGTGATTCTGAATCCTACTGCCCAGTTTATAAAACACAACATGCTGTAATGTTCTGTCACTTTTCATCCTGTCTTCTCTAGGTCGACCTAAATGAGGAGGAGACCATCCTGATTATCCGGCGTTTGCACAAGGTGCTCCGCCCCTTCCTGCTTCGCAGACTGAAGAAAGAGGTGGAGTCCCAGCTGCCAGAGAAGGTGAGATTACAGTTTAACGTAATTTGATGTAATAATACATACGACCTGCCACTTGAGTATCATTGATATTGATATTTTGAACGAAATCCTGCTTCCGTATTTGTCCACTGGCGGCCCTGCTTTCTTAATACAAGAAGCAAATGATTCATGCTCAAACTGCTTCAGTCAACATAACATTCATTCATATTAAAATAGTGGGTCTGCATTTGTCTGGCATTACATTAATGCACATTTACCCATCCAACGCTATTCGGCTGCCTTTGTTTTCCTGTAATTCCAGACAATTCATATCCATCTGAATAATGGTTAAAACGGTAAACCTTCTCACATACTTTGGGCTGCACTTCGGTGGTCTGTCAGCCCAGGCTGGTTATGGTGTATGACGCACGCAATTTGAGCCACAAGGACCATAAGGGACCCTACGTTACACTGTTTGCCCTTACACTGTTTGCCCTAATTGCTTTCATATAGATAGTTTATTCCAGGTAAGCTGTGCTGTTTTCCAGAAGCATCTTAAAGGGAAAATTGACCCAAAAAATAAATATTCTTCTCCTACCAGTAGCACTGCAAATCTAAAGTTGAAGAGTTGAAGGCACTCAGCTTGTGCTTCTGTCGCCAAAACTACGTTTTAAAAACCCAACAGAAATAGAAATTTATTTTTAGAAATCATGACCCAGTTACTTATCCTCAAATTATGTAATACTTAAGTTATATTATTGACGGACCTTGTTGGAAGCAGTTTCATGTAGGAACTTCTCAATTCCAAATGAATTTCTGTGATACTTTGTTAAACAAATCTGTAAGAGCGCTGTTGGAGGGAGCCTGCAATCTAAGAATTGTATTGGCAAAGACTGCTCCACTGAGCGTATGACATTAAGAACTTCACTTGAACTTAAAGAACTGAACTTTGAGCAGCAGCAAAACCAATCAATGTGTACTTTCTTTAAAGATAATTATAAAGGGCAGAGAATTGGACAGACAAAGTTACTTATACAAGTATCCAGCATTGCCTTCGGCATCACAGATAGCTGACGTTAAGAAGAACTACATCAATTACTGTTGGAAAATAGAACCAGTTTCTTAAAAAAGCCTTTAAATAACTTAATAATCTTACAATTTAAATGAAATGAATTTGACCTATAGAGGTCGCACCAGTTGTAAATGTATATAATGTGCCTTTTTTTCTTGTTTTCAATTACTTCCAAACATCTTTGCCACTGAGAAGGCACCACTGTTTCACTGAAGCATTCTTTATTATTGTCATTCAACACAGGTGGAGTATGTCGTCAAATGTGACATGTCTGCCATACAGAAGGTTTTGTACCGCCACATGCAGAGAGGCATCCTCCTCACTGACGGCTCAGAGAAAGACAAGAAGGTAAATATACACAGAACCCCCCGGCTTCACAGCATGTCTGCGCTTTGTTTTAATACCAGTGTGTGACATGCTGTGTCAAACTGAGCAGCATGGCTTAGAGATATTTACATCGTGCTGCTGTTTGACTCCAGAGGAGCTTGTGTTAGAGTAGATACAGTTGCCCCGTGCTTTTGCTAAAGATAAAGGGTATATTTCAGAATGTGAATTCCTTCATTCGTCTCGCAGCGGGAACATTTACGTCATTGCAGCAGCAAAGGTGGAAAGAAAAAGAGTATACTTGTACACTGCTCACATGAACAAATAACCAAAAACCAATAAGTACACCATGGTAAAAAACTGTATTACCTGCAAGATTTTTCTCTGAGGTTCTTCAGTAATATTAAAGACACGTTAAACTGCTTTAATGCAGAAATGAGTCCTTAAATCAAGAAATTAGCATTTCACCACTTTTGGCTCCCTTGTTTTGAAGTCAATTATTTTTGCTTGTTTTTGATTAAATGCATAGATTAAAGTCCATGTTTCTATTCCATAAAAGACATCAGTAGATACCCCACCCCTGAATGTCCGAAGCCTCTGTGTGTCCTCAAAAATGGCGGTTGCTACCAAGTGACTAAATGAGACAACTAAACGTAATCACTCTGACCATTAGCTGTCTTTAGCTTAGAGGTGGTGACGTTAGTTAAACACATCATGTGACCACGGTGTAGGTTGTTTACAGCCTATCGTTAGCTTTTTACTTCTAGTAATTGGGTTTACTCTTTAGCAAATCATAAACGTTTTGTTAATATTTGGAGAGTATCCTGCTGAACTAAACATCTACGTATATTAAACGTGTTTACCAGAGATCTTATGTGCAACAATTCTCCAAGATCCAATGGAAAAAGCCCATCACTTTTTATCGAGGGAGCCCTTGTGACGCATTCTGCACCTCTCTATGAAATGACAACATGAAAGCTATGCGACAATGTGAAAGAAGTAGCTGAATCACTAGCTCCCCTCGACTTTGAAGAGCTTTACAGTTTCATGTTATTTTTTAGCTGTCAACCCCCAACAATTTTGGTGAACTCTTACCAATCTCATATTTCAGTTTTACCGCTGCAGGCAGCTGTTAATCAGTCACAAACGCTGACAGACCCACTGTTATTTCCAGTTTAAACTCACATCAAGACAAATATCATTGTTTTGATCTGGCGTTTCATTTATTTTATATGTTTCAATTGTCCCAAGGGCAAAGGAGGATCAAAGACCCTGATGAACACCATCATGCAGCTGAAGAAAATCTGCAACCATCCCTACATCTTCCAGCACATTGAGGTGAGTGTGAAAAGCCTGTGAATACTAAGAAGTGGAAAATATGACACTGGGTTCCACTTGTGCATGTCTCTATCATTTACATATTCTAATTGTCAGCTAATTGCATATTCATTACCTTCAAAGATATGGGTTTCATTTTTCAAGGAATATTTGTCATATTAATTCATCCAAATGGCTTCCGGTAAACATTTTTTCTGGGATGTTGTCGTCACGAAAGTTTTCTTTTCTGAAATCATTGTATTTTAGTGGGGAGTTTGATATTTGCTGGGCTATACTTTAAGTTCTACATACGAAAACAATTGTAAATATACAGATTTAATTCGACTAAAAGTCAGTCTGAATTTATAGAGTCCTGTCTCTATCTTTTCAAACAGCTCAGATAATAGTTTGGAAGGTTATCTTTAGGTCAGCTACATTTAAATATGTGATGTTGTTACCCTTATTTAAACTACTTCATATTCTCTGTTGTAGGAGTCTTTTTCTGAGCACTTGGGCTTTCCAAATGGCGTCATCAGTGGGTAAGTCGTACAAAAAAACACCCTCCTTGAAAACCACATTGTCATATTTTCTGAGTTAAAGGATCTTGAACATAATCCTGGTCAGCTAAGCGTTAAAAGCGAAGACTAATCACACTAGTCAGAGTGGAGGCTGACTGAGTTTCATAGAAAGGCAGTTTGACGAGGCGCTGTGCGAGAGAGGAAGGGAATTAACCTGAGGCACAAAACGCAGTAATAATAGATTCAGGTAAACACGATAAAATGTAAACGGAGCAGGGAAAAGGTGTGTGTGAGAAAAGAGGCACAGCCGGGACCATGACATAATGCCAACATAACAGATTCCCGGCTGAGCACAGCCTCCAACAATTGGTTGTATTTTGCTAAAACTTTACTTTAACATATGAAGCATTTATGGGCACAATAAAACATTTGACATTTTGAAAAACACTAAGTAAGTGTTTATTATCCTACAGTATTAGTTACAAATATATATGTTCTCCCACTAAACTGAATTTAACTTTATTGTCTATTATCTTTTTTTAAAAACCAGCCTTTACTTCTGGGTGCCCATAATAAGGATTGATAATTAGGGATTAATACAAAAGTAAACTCTTATATTTCCTTAAAGAATAGTTTCTTATGAACCAGTTATTAAATGTTTATATACTGCTAATAAATGCTAACAGGGGAGTACATATCGTTGGTGGTATCAGGTAAACACAGCCTCTGCAGTGCCTTCAGTTCAAACAATAGCATACAGACAACAAACAGACTTATATGGCTTCCATTTTATTTTTTTAACTTTCTGAACATTCTGTCAAAAAGAAGCTGTTTACAGAAATGCAGTTTTATCTTTTCATGTGTTTCTTTCAAAACAAAATGCACACAGTCACAACCAACAGGTCTGACATTTATTCACAACATTGTGTGCAGCGGCATAGTCAACGTTTTTTCTCTTTGACTTTGTTTGAAGCTCAGTGAAGCAGTACAGTAGTTTCCCACCTGATAAGAGTATCCAATCGAAGTTGAAATGTGAAAAAGCCAGTGTGTCAGGTGTCTATGCAGTATTTACTGGTACTTGGCAGCAGATTTAAATTATTCATAGCCTGTCCTGTTACGCATTACTTTTCCATTGTCAATTGAATGTAATGTTTTTTCCAATTTCACCTCTCTGGTTGCTGTTTCATATATAGGTAAAACAAACAAAGCATCATTGCTTTAATATAACCCAAAACAAACCGATGTGATGACAGGAACAACACACCTCAGCACCACAGCACAGAACCATTCAAAACAAGTGAATTACATTGATTTTAAGCATTAAAATATATTTTTCCACCTCAATCCATTTAATTGTTTGATTAATCTTAGTATGTCTGAAATAGTGCAGTTATGCCTCGGTTAACTTTTTTGGCCATTTGGTTGCAATCCTTAGTGCAACTTCTCCGTCTTGCATTTGCACAAACACACTTTAAAACCCACACTTTCAAATTTAATTCGGCAAAAGGTCAAGTGTGGGGGCAAAAACGGGGTCAGCCAAAAGGTTAAATAGGTATCTTTGGACAGACCTAGGGACAGAAAGAGTGACCTATTGAGCTTCAACTAAAAAACAAGTTCTATAAAACATTTTGTGGCTCCAGACAGAGCTTTATGGAATCTGAAAAATGACTTGAGGCAAAGTCGTTAATTCTGAAGACAAGTTTGGAAATTGAAAAAATATCAAGTTGTGGAGTTAGAGAGAAGTGAGCTACTACTAACTGTTGGTGGTAACCAGAATAACAGGACAGGAAACCAGGAACTGTGACAGGCTGAACCACATCAGGGAAACGTTGACAACGAACTGACAGGGAACACTAGGGAAAACGGACGTATACACACACAAGACTAATCACAAAGACAAGACACAGCTGGAGGAGGCAGGAAAAAACCCAAGGGCAGCAGGTGATCTCAATCAGACAATCACACACAGGTGGAGAGAATCAGCACAAAACAATTCCAAAGGCAAAAAAAGAAAGCCTAAAGCACAATTACATTTAAACTATAACAAGAAACATTCAACAGAAAAACCAAGATCAAAGCTAGCATGGAATAACACCAATGTCACAGAAACATATCAAAGAGGTTGCCAAACAAAAAAACTAAAAAGAACTTCAGGGCATTATTGGCCAATTGATAAACTGTCAAAATAGATGCCATACTTTAGTCATCATTACGCCTGTATTGGTTATAGTGTGACACGTTTTACCAGTCTATGGTTTTACCTCATTACCCCCATCCAGGCTGGAACTGTATCGAGCTTCGGGGAAGTTTGAGCTCCTCGATCGCATCCTGCCCAAACTGCTTGCCACCAATCACAGAGTGCTGCTGTTCTGCCAAATGACCACTCTCATGACCATCATGGAGGACTACTTCAGCTACCGCAACTTCCAGTATTTACGTCTCGACGGTAAGCTCTCACCTCTACTTATGTTTCTAAACTCTGTGATCATCAAATCTACAATGTATCAATATCGATAATAGGTATTAGAAATGTCCTGACATGTTTACCAATTAATCCATACATATCAGCCAAAACAGAAGGTTATAAAGGTGGGCGTTTTGCAAACTGTTTCAGGGGAGGCTCATTCAATCGAAGTGAACAAATATGATATAAGTTATGAAAAGAAGACCAAATAAAAAGGCTTGAAGGTGTGTCTTATTAGGTAGAAATTCCTATTTCGAGTAGTTTTGGGTAATTTTGCAGTTTTTTCCCCCACTTTCCTAGAATATATTAAGCTACATATTATCCAAAACAGAAGGTTTTAACCCTTGTGCCCTCCTCGGGCATTTTTGTACATTTTTCCTGACTTTTTTTTTTGATTTGGTGTTCATTTCAGCTGTGTTACAGCTTTTGGCATGGATTTTTGCAAGAAGTCTTCTTTTGAGTCAAATTTTTGAAATCCAATGTCGTTTACTCTTACATGTTTTGTATACTCTCGTGATGCATTTTGCACCCTCTGGACCCCTTCGTGGCAAAAATGTACACGCTCATAGAAACTGCTATTAAATCATCATACATCAATATTTTATTAAACTTTTTTTTCCATGAATCACTTGAACAACTTCTAACGTGCTCAAAACTACCAAACATCCAATAATTTTCAGGATTTTAACCCTTTAAATGCCTGTTTCATTATTTGAATTATTTAATTTCTCTTAAAAAAAAACACAAAAAATGAATTTCTTTCAATATAATAATTAGTAGAGGGATGGAACTTTGGTGGTTATTAGAGTCTGGGATGTGTCAAAGATTAGCAACAAAATTGATTTGACTGCATTATTAATTTTTATGTAGTGTCAGATACTACCTCTGGACACCTTCGTGGCAAAAATGTACACGCCCAAAACAACTGCTATTAAATCATCATACATCAATATCTTTTTCTACTTTTTTTTCATGAATCACATATACAACTTCTCACGTACTCCAAACTACCAAACATTCAATCATTGGCAGGATTTTAACCCATTAAATGCCTGTTTAATTATTTTAATTATTTCATTTCTCTCAAAAATGCCTCATTGACTTCCATTCAGACCACATTTGTTGATCTCATTGCCATTGCAGTATAAAACCATGCATTTTGTAATGTCAGCATTTCATTTAGAAGAAAAGTAGTGATATTTGATATTTCTACTCTATTCCAACAGATTACACAAGTTTCCGTGTAGGCCGATGCATTACATTCTTACATTTTTGCCAGTTATATTATGGAGCCGTGTGACTACCAGGGGGCCCCGAGAGTGGTGTGTGTGTGTGTGTGTGTGTATGTGTGTATGTGCGTGTGTGTGTGTGTGTATATGTATGTGCGTGTGTGTGTGTATATGTGCGTGTGTGTGTGTGTGTGTCATTTCCAGCAGCAGACTAGCAGGTCCTGCAGCATGTGACCTGGTGCTCTCAGGTGATAGAACAACATTTTTTTAGGCCTGTGCACAACCAGCACACACCTCTCCTCCCTCTCCGTGTGTGTGTGTGAGAATCTGTAAGCATGCACAGATCATTTCATGGGAACAAAAGGCCATCTTTTGAGGGATGTGTTTGATGTGTCTTTGAAGAGCTGCTTGATTACTCAAAAACAAAAAACAACTGTTAGTGTGTTTATGCACCTGGCTGCCAAAGATAAACATGCAGTTTGACCAAGGGCTTATTTCATTAGTGAGCAGAGAAGGAGAAAGACCTGGAGCAAAGAGAAGGAACTCAAATGAAGAAGCTTTTCAGTGCAGAAGAGACTTCAGAAATAATCTTGCAGCCTTCTTCTGCCAGCGAGCTGCAGGACTCATCTGAAGAAGACACAAGGTTCGAGCTGGGGTCTGACACTGAATGCTCTCTGGAGTCCAGCATTTCTTTGAGTTCCTCTGACCCTTCATCTGAAAGTGGAGAGGACACTGAGGGTCCGGCCCACCATCCACCACCACGGGGGGCTTTCTTCTCACAACCTGTGAGGACACCCTGGTTTTCCCCAGCTCCTGGGAGAATGACCTCCGTTCTTCTCTGTCCCCTCACTGTGGGTCGGACCCTCAGTGTCCTCTCCACTTTCAGATGAAGGGTCAGAGGAACTCAAAGAAATGCTGGACTCCAGAGAGCATTCAGTGTCAGACCCCAGAGAGCATTCAGTGTCAGACTCCAGAGAGCATTCAGTGTCAGACCCCAGAGAGCATTCAGTGTCAGACCCCAGAGAGCATTCAGTGTCAGACCCCAGCTCGAACCTTGTGTCTTCTTCAGATGAGTCCTGCAGCTCGCTGGCAGAAGAAGGCTGCAAGATTATTTCTGAAGTCTCTTCTGCACTGAAAAGCTTCTTCATTTGAGTTCCTTCTCTTTGCTCCAGGTCTTTCTCCTTCTCTGCTCACTAATGAAATAAGCCCTTGGTCAAACTGCATGTTTATCTTTGGCATCCAGGTGCATAAACACACTAACAGTTGTTTTTTGTTTTTGAGTAATCAAGCAGCTCTTCAAAGACACATCAAACACATCCCTCAAAAGATGGCCTTTTGTTCCCATGAAATGATCTGTGCATGCTTACAGATTCTCACACACACACGGAGAGGGAGGAGAGGTGTGTGCTGGTTGTGCACAGGCTTAAAAAAATGTTGTTCTATCACCTGAGAGCACCAGGTCACATGCTGCAGGACCTGCTAGTCTGCTGCTGGAAATGACACACACACACGCACATACGCACATATACACACACACACACACACACACGCACACGCACACGCATACGCATACATATACATACACACACACACACACCACTCTCGGGGCCCCCTGGTAGTCACACGGCTCCATAATATAACTGGCAAAAATGTAAGAATTTAATGCATCGGCCTACAGTGGGAAAATGGTGTAATCTGTTGGAATAGAGTAGAAATATCAAATATCACTACTTTTCTTCTAAATGAAATGCTGACATTACAAAATGCATGGTTTTATACTGCAATGGCAATGAGATCAACAAATGTGGTCTGAATGGAAGTCAATGAGGCATTTTTTAGATAAATGAAATAATGAAAATAATGAAACAGGCGTTTAAAGGGTTAAAATCGAAACCGAAAATGGTAGTTTTGAGTATGTTAGAAGTTGTTTATGTGATTCATGAAAAAAAAGTAGAAAAAGATATTGATGTATGATGATTTAATAGAAGTTATTATGGGCGTGTACATTTTTGCCACGAAGGTGTCCAGAGGTAGTATCTGATACTACGTAAAAAATAATAATGCAGTCAAATCAATTTTGTTGCTAATCTTTGACACATCCAAGACTCTAATAACCACCAAAGTTCCATCCCTCTACTAATTATTATATTGAAAGAAATTCATTTTTTGTGTTTTTTTGTAATAAATAATGAAATAATTCAAATAATGAAACAGGCATTTAAAGGGTTAAAATCCAGAAAAGTATTGAATGTTTGCTAGTTCTGAGTATGTTATAAGTTGTTTATGTGATTCATGAAACAAAAAGTAGAAAAATATATTGATGTATGATGATTTAATAGAAGTTATTATGGGCGTGTACATTTTTGCCACGAAGGGGTCCAAAGGTAGTATCTGACACTACGTACAAAATAATAATGCAGTGAAATCAATTTTGTTGCTAATCTTTGACACATCCAAGACTCTAGTAGCCACCAAAGTTCCATCCCTCTACTAATTATTATATTGAAAAATAATTATGTTTTGTGTTTTTTCGTAAGAAAAAATGAAATAATTCAAATAATTAAACAGGCATTTAAAGGGTTAAAATCCTGCCAATGATTGAATGTTTGGTAGTTTTGAATACGTTATAAGTTGTTTATGTGATTCATGAAACAAAAAGTAGAAAGAAATATTGATATATGATGATTTAATAGAAGTTATTATGGGCGTGTACATTTTTGCCACGAAGGTGTCCAGAGGTAGTATCTGACACTACGTACAAAATAATAATGCAGTGAAATCAATTTTGTTGCTAATCTTTGACACATCCAAGACTCTAGTAACCACCAAAGTTCCATCCCTCTACTAATTATTATATTGAAAAAAATTAATTTTTTGTGTTTTTTGTCATAAATAATGAAATAATTCAAATAATTAAACAGGCATTTAAAGGGTTAAAATCCAGAAAATTATTGAATGTTTGGTAGTTTTGAGTACGTTATAAGTTGTTTAAGTGATTCATGAAAAAAAAAGTAGAAAGAAATGTTGATGTATGATGATTTAGTAGCAGTTATTATGGGCGTGTACATTTTTGCCACGAAGGGGTCGAAAGGTTGAAAATTCGAGGAGGGCACAAGGGTTAAAGGTCCCCTATTATACTCTTTTTCAACAATGTATTATAGTTCTCAGTTATATAAAAAACATGTCTCTGAAGTGTTTGGCTCGAAATACCAAACAGATCATGCATTGTAGCATCCCATAACCCCCTCTGTTTCAGCCCTGTTCTAAAAGTGCTGATTCTGTGTTTGTAGCTTTAAATGCAAACGAGCCGCCGCTGGCTACGCGCCTCTGTGAAGTGTTTGGTTTAAAATACCACAATGGTGCTCTAGGAGGAGATTCAGGTGATAAGGTGGGGGGTGTTACCTTGGTTGGTTATTGGCTAATGGTTACACAAGCCAAAAAAACCTTGTGACATCACAAAGTGGCCAAAATCGGATCAGCTAGGTTTCGGACAGGTTTTATGTTGATGGATCAGTACAAAAAGTGAGGGAAGCTTTTTTCCTGAAACTTTCGAAATCTCTTAACACATGGGACATGTTTATGTAAAAAAGACAGGAAAAAAGATTTTACATAATAGGTGACCTTTAAAGGTGGGCACTTCGCAAACAGTTTCAGGGGAGGCTCATTCAATCAAAGTGAAAAAATATGACATAAGTTATCAAAAGAAGACGAAATAGAAAGGCTTGAAGGTGTGTCTTATTAGGTAGAAGTTCCTATTTCGAGTAGTTTTAGGTAATTTTACTGTTTCTCCGCCCATTTTCCTAGAGTATAATAAGCTAACAAATGCTTTAGGACAAACCTCTTTTGTGTATCAGTGTTGGAAGGCCTCCAGTCTCTGACTTTGGAAAGCCCTTGGCTTAAATAAAGCAAAATCCAATGGTTCCTCTCCTGCAGTCTACTGAGTATTGTCCCCCTCAGCCTTCTTTTGTCTGGTTCAAGTGTTCTCTGCATGCCTTGTGCCTGTTCTCAAAGATCATTTGTAAAGAAAGAAACAGCTCTACTGAGTTCTGTTTCTGCAGTTCAAACAAAGTGAGACCTCTTCTCTGGGGCACACCGATTTCATAAGAAGCTTTCTAGTCAAGTCAATTTGATTTACACAGCCCAGTCTCACACATTTGCCTCAAGGGGCTTTATATAGTACACCCTCTCCTTAGAGACCCTCATTTTGAGTAGGTAACCTCTTAGCAGGACTTAAGTGGAAGAAACCTGAGAAAGAGCCGAGTCAGATACATATGTATTCAATATGGTAGGTAAACATAGTTATGGGCCTTGGAATTGGCAGATACCTTTATGTTAAAGGACTAGAACCATGGTTAAGACCCTACACCTTTATATATATATATATATATATATATATATATACAGTCTATGCCCTAAACACCATTTGGATGATCTTTATGAACTTCAGGATATATTTGCAATAGATGAAATTCATAAGAAGCGAAGGATATGCTCCTCTGAAAACTGTTATATTATGAATCATGTAGTCTATTATTGCTTACAATTTCAGTGGAAGTAAGGATGATGAGGGTTTATCATCTGTGTCGACAACACAAATTATCTTTACCATAATGCATCATCACACAACAGACAAATACTAGAGAATTTAAAAGCTCTTTCCAACTTCCAAAGACAAACATGATCATTATCTGAGATTAAGTCCGATCTTGTGTTAGTACTTTACTTCTTTGTTCCCTTTATGTATTTGGTGTGTTAAAAAGATCAATTCCTCATTTGTAATTCAAATGGACGCAGACTAAAATAATAATACGCAATATTCTCATTAAGATTCTCATCACATCATGTTTGCTGAGAATAATACCCCACACTTTGCATTTCAAACAACAGACAATCCTTTAAGCCACTAAGTCTGGTATCAGAGACCTGAGTTCCCCGAGGAGATTCATTTTTGTGCAGTTTTTGAAACATAACAAAATGTGCAATGTGATCTCTCTCCTCATTTCCCCTTGACTGCTGTGTGCGAGTGACGATTGAGGCATTTGTCTTCGCAGTTAAAAGAAGCACATTATGGCAAACAATAAGAGCTTGTCTCGTACTTGTATGGTCTTCAGTTTGAAGGGAGCAGGGACCTGTTCCAAAGAAATCTGTGATGAACATGCAGCCTCACACATCCTTGCAGCAACTCACAGTTTAGAATGTTATGTGTGATTAGTGAATTCATTCTGGATTTTGAAAGAAAGTAACAGGCACTCAGCAGAGACTGGCTGGGAATGAAACACAGACTGTCAGTGCCTTCAGGCTCACTAGGCTGATGTGATTAACTAGAAAAGTGCATCAGAATCTTTTCTTTGCAGGCAGCCACACAATTGGTCCTTTTTATTCAAAAGTGACCTATTATGCTAATGTTCTGGTTTGTATTTTTCTTGTATTTCTCTACTGGGACTTGTTTACATGCTTTAATGCTGAAAAAGTTATTTATTTTTCTCGGACGGCCTCTGCTGCAGCACCTCTTTTCACCCTCTGTCTGAAACCAGAGCCCAGTGTGCTCTGATTGGTTAGCTGGTCCGCTCTGTTGTGATTGGTCAACCGCTTAGAAATGTCCCGGCCCTTAACCTATCCAGACAATGTGTTGGAGGACTAGCCAATGGAAGCGCGAGGTTACGTAGTGATGTCACACAAAACAAAGGAGTCCAATCGATGCATTAACTCAGTTCTCTGATTCCAGACTTATGGCGCGTTTCCACTACAGCGCGGAGCACGGTTTAAGAGGGCTGTGACGTCAGCGGCCCGTCTTTGGTTGCGTTTCCACTTGGCCTAGTACCGGCCGGCGGGTCCTAATTCACAGTTGTTCTGGCCTCATAAAATCGTGGGTCTAGGGCCAGAGACAACGAGGCTGAGTCGGGCTGAGTATGCTAAACTAGAGAGAGGATCGCTGGCAAGGGGGCTACAACTACAACAAGATGGACATATTTGACCGTGATTTAATTGTAATACACGTTTCAAAATGATGCCGAAGTAACAACATACTGTTACCGGTTAGTAAAAACCATGAATTAATGCTTTGACAAGTCTGCAGACAGACGGCAGGCGAAAAACCTTTTAAAATGCGTGTTTTTTAAATGGAGATCGGCTAAGCTAACGCAGTATATGCTCCGACCGTCCACACTCACAACAACGGCCTATACACACATAAATAAAGCAGCGACTGTATTCGTCATGACACAGGCAGTCTGTGGTGTGTACTTGTTTAACTTTTGTCTAGTTTCTGAACATATATGAGGAGCTGTGAGCTCTGAGTGCTAACAGCTAACGGCTGTGTTGTTTTTCTGGGGTTCTCATTGAAGATGACGTCACGGCTCCGCCTACACTGCGTTACTATAGTTACTACCCCAGTTCCTAAACTGTAATGGAAATGCGCCATAAAGTGAGCCAGTCCTAACGAGGCCAAGCCATACCGAGCGGGGCCGAGTGAGGCCGTGTAGTGGAAACGCGCCATTAGTGACTTAAAGGATTTCCTTTTGTTTAAAATGCAAAGTATGGGGTATTATGCTCAGCAAACATAACGTGATGAGAATCCTAATGAGAATATTGCCTGTAATAGGCTTGAACTTCAGGATTTTAGCCTTCGCAGACCATTTACATGGACAAAAAACAATATAACACACTTCAGGAAGAAAAGGCACAAAAGATAAATTGAGAAGAGTGATATTTCCATATATTTCAGATGTCTTGGTGCTATATGAATACTGTAAAAGTAGCTAAACACTCAATCCACAGAAAAAAGTACACAGCGCGTATTTTAAAACTGTGCATTTTAACAATATGTCCAAACTTCTTGGCGTTACAGATATGTTGAATGAGACATACAGTAATGAGAAAAATAATATATTTTGGACATTAAGGCATGTAAAGATGTTATAGTATAACCTAAAGAAAGTTAGCATATTACTGTATATTACCTTTAAGTGGGGCCTCTTCCCAGGATTACTCCTTATTCTGCAGACGATAACATAAACATGTCTAGTCATTCTACTTGACATGAAATGTTTCAATTGATTTATTCAGTATTATTTTGGTCCAACCAAATAATGAATTACCGTATTAGAAGGAATCATTTGGTGATCAGAATGAACACTATCTACTCCGCACTTAGAAACCAACTTAGAAATAGACTTGTGGACTGTGAACATTCTAAGTTAGCATAATTTAATCAGACTTCAAAACCATGAACCCTGTGTAATAAATTGCCACATGCCCCTACAGACACATCTGAATCAGTTTAATTCATCAGACATGAGGCAGGGTATCGGGTGACATTTTGATTTTAAGTTTGCTTTGACACTTTTTTCACACTTAAAAAACGTATGGTTGGCATTTCAGGAAGCACCAAGGCTGACGACCGCGCAATGCTGCTGAAGAAATTTAATGAGCAAGGATCTCAGTACTTCATCTTCTTGCTCAGCACCAGAGCCGGGGGCCTCGGCCTCAACCTGCAGGCCGCCGACACCGTGGTCATCTTCGACAGCGACTGGAATCCACACCAGGTACGTCCCGCAGTTTAACACACTGTAAAAATAGTGTGTTATAATAATGTGCTCATGGTGTGAACTTTTGACTACAGAATGTATATTCCTTTTTTTTTTACATTTTCTTTTTTATTTACATAAATGTTAAGAGTTACAAGCCATCTTACATTTTACTTTTTATTTTTTATTCAACATAACAAATATTACAAATCAGGCATACAGAAATACGAACATGAAGAGACAGAAACACAACAACAATAACAGCTGTGTGTAGCAGAGAACCAGGGGGGTTACATTACAAATAGAGTTTTTAGTTGAAGTCTGATCTATACGGTTTTACAAACTCAATCCATCCCTTGCAACACCTGTCAAATGTGTCTGTCTTGAGTCTCAGAGTAAATGTTCATTTTTCCACAACAACAATCTTGTGAATCACATTAAATCAGTCTGCTAGAGTAGGTGGTACTTGGCTTAACCATTTTTTCGTTATGGCTTTTTTACTGTCGACTAGCATTATTTTAAACATGTACACTTTAGAGAATGTAGTGGTAGTTCCAAAGCAGATTTAAAGGTGTACCTACTGACCAGAGGTGGGAAGTAGTAGAGTACAAATACTTCGTTACTGTACTTAAGTACATGTTTCTGCTATCAGTACTTTACTCCACTACTAATTTTTCTGACGACTTTTTACTTTTACTTCTTACATTTTGAACACAAATACCTGTACTTTCTACTTCTTACATTTTAAACACAAATACCTGTACTTTCTACTTCTTACATTTTGAACACAAATACCTGTACTTTCTACTTCTTACATTTTGAACACAAATACATGTACTTTCTACTTCTTACATTTTGAACACAAATACCTGTACTTTCTACTTCTTACATTTTAAACACAAATACATGTACTTTCTACTTCTTACATTTTAAACACAAATACCTGTACTTTCTACTTCTTACATTTTAAAAACAGGCTCGTTACTTTAGTTTGAATGTGTGTTTGGTGGCGTGATCATTATTATTTAGAGTCATTGCGTGCGTATTGATTTGAACACGATCCGTGTATCCATCACTTCCTGGTCTTCTCTAAAGAAGAGGGACCAATGAAAACGTTGTCATGTTGCCGTTGTTCAGCATGGAAACATTCATTAGCTAACAATGACATCATTGTTCTATTAATATAAAGGGAGGTCAGGTACTCTTTAAAACAGCTGGTAGTTATGGGTACTTTTTACTTAAGTACATTTCGAAGCCCATACTTCTTTACTTTTACTTGAGTAAAGATGTTTAGTCAGTACTTCTACTTTTACCAGGGTATTTTTAAACACGAGTATCTGTACTTCTACTTGAGTAAAGGATGTGTGTACTTTTGCCATCTCTGCTACTGACAGTGTTTTAGGTTGATGCGACTTAAATGAACTAATATTTCTCTTTAATCCGTGTTTCCAGGACCTGCAGGCTCAGGACCGGGCTCACCGCATCGGCCAGCAGAACGAGGTGCGCGTGCTTCGTCTCTGCACCGTCAACAGTGTGGAGGAGAAAATCCTGGCAGCTGCCAAATACAAACTCAACGTGGATCAGAAGGTCATCCAGGCGGGCATGTTCGACCAGAAGTCCTCAGGCAACGAGCGCCAAGCTTTCCTCCAGGCCATTTTACTGACTGAGGAGCAGAATGAGGTCGGGTGTGAATTATTTTGCAATAAGAAGATAAATGTAGGGGTCTTTAAACATTTTTTATTAAATGGTGCATGCTGCTTTTGATTGAATTCCTGCATACACAGCACTTTAGATACGATCAGGGATGTAGCCACCCTTCACTTATAATATTCCATGTTTTTGAAATGCAATCTCAGCAGCTTAATTTGTATTTGATAAAAATCATAAAGCAGTACCTGACCAGTTTGTTTTGAACTGACCATGCAAGGCTCCTGTTGTGCCGAAACATTCATTAACTCAGCCTGTGTTTTGCTGTTTTTCCAAACTAGGAAGAAGATGAGATACCCGATGATGAAACTCTTAACCAGATGATAGCCCGCAATGAAGACGAATTTGAGCTCTTCATGGTAAGAAAAGGCACACATTCCTGTGAGATCTCATCGACATTTAAATTGCAGAGTAAGACTCCAAAAGCAACCGTCCTAAAGAGGAGACGCTGACAGCTGGTTCTCTTACATTTACCGACAAAATAATTGTAGGTTTTCCATCATGTCGAGACTATTGTTCATTGGTTAACATTTATTTTTTGTTCAGGCATCTGAGAATGGCGCGTTTGTCCCGCGGACAACTCTTCATGCATAATAAACAACTAAATTGCCATGGATAAAGGCCTCAGTCACCATGTCACTCAGTATACACAGTTTTTTACTGAAAAAATAGCTGTCCTCACAGAGCCTCAAGCCTCACTGTCTCCTCACAGAGTCGCCTCATATTTCTTTTCACCCAGCTCTTATTGACTTGCTCCATGATGTCTGGGTGCAAGATATTAAATATACATGGAAGCAATAGGTTAGGGCTGGCAGCAAGTTTGTAACTTGTAGAAGGGCTTCGTCCAAAGGTGCATTTAGTGTCACCAAGACTAAAGTTGCATTTGCAGTTGTGTTTTAAGAAGTGACAACATGGCTTAGTGTTTGTGATGAGATACGGTGAGATAATCCCCTGGTTTGTAAATCTAGTTATATTAGTATATGCACAGCCCGCTGTTGCTCTCTAACACAAAGCATATAAAGTACTGTAAACACAAAACCCTTATTTTTTTTTATTTTTTTTTATTTAACCTTTATTTAACCAGATAAAAACATTGAGATAAAATCTCATTTTCAATGCTGACCTGGCCAAGAAGGCAGCAACGTTACACATAACACATAACACAAACATATAAAATACAGAGAACATAACTAAGAAAACAAAAGACGAAAAAGCAGTCACTACATTGTGCACATTAGGACAGTAAGAAAAGTACACTACTTGTTACTGCAAGAGCAGCTGGTGGTGAGGACTTCAGACAACTTCAATTATAATTATAATTAAAGCAGAAATATGGCCTGATGTTTGATGCGTCCATATAGTGATGTTAATATCAACAAGGTAGAAATCCAATGCTTATTCCAGTTTGAATCATCTGTATTTTCTTCTCTGCAGCGCATTGACATGGACCGACGGCGGGAGGACGCCAGGAACCCAAAGCGCAAGCCTCGCCTCATGGAGGAGGACGAGTTGCCTTCTTGGATCATCAGAGACGAAGCTGAGGTGGACCGCCTCACGTACGAAGAGGAGGAGGAGAAGATGTTCGGCCGGGGGTCTCGCTGCCGTCGGGACGTGGACTACAGCGACACGCTCACTGAAAAACAGTGGCTGCGGGTAAAGTCTGAGCATACTTACTAAGCTATTATTTCTCTAACAAATATAGTGATAAATGTAACTGAAGTGAAATTGGTTAACAACCCATAATGTCTTTATTCACCTGCAACGCTTCTTCCCTGCAGTTACCTATAGCAATCTTTGGAAATATAATGTGCCATTTAATTTAAGTTATTGTGATTTTTTTTACATCAGTATTAGATATTACTGCAAATATTCCCTTGATCGTCCTTAGCCACGGTCATGTTATGCTTAACAGAGGTGTGTTAGCAAGTGGTAAAAACCTCTGAAAAATCCAAATTGACCAATCAGAATAGAGTGTTCCTCTAAGCCGTGTAATACAAGGTAAACACTTAGCAGTCATTCATCTTTTCTAACTTAACCACTTTTTCCTTATGTTACAAAAAACAATGTTCTGAAGCCTTTGTTGTAAAGTGCTGATCTGGATCTGTGGAGAAAAGCAGAACATTCTGAAGGATGCTTACAGACATGAAAATCATTTTCATTCAGAATCAGCTTTGCAGACATACAAGGACATGGTCAAGATACTTATAAAGGAATATGAAAATGTCAATGGCAAAAGCTCTAGCTTCTTTACTTGAGTAAAAGTACCACACAGTAGAACTACTCAATTTTAAGTTAGAGTACTGCATCGAGAATGGAACTAAAGTCAAGTATTTAAGTACGATTAGGAAAATGTACTCAAAGTATTATTAATTCAAGAAGAAACTCAACAAATATTTATATATACAGTGGAGGAAATAAGTATTTGATCCCCTGCAGATTTTGTAGGTTTGCCCACTTACAAATAAATGAACAGTATATAAGTTTATTTTAACAGTGAGAGTAAGAATATCAAAAAGAAAATCCAGAAATTGACATTATATAAAAGATAAGAATTGATTTGCATTAAACTTTGGGAAATAAGTATTTGATCCCGTTGCAACCAACAAGGATTCTGGCTCCCACAGACCGGTTACATAAGTCCTCTTCTTTTTAAAAAGTACTCCTCATATCAACTTGTTACCTGTATAAAAGACACCTGTCCACAGAAGAAAAAGAAAATGGGCATCAATCAACAATCAGTCGCCCTCGGTCTGGGGCTCCACACAAGATCTCGCCCCGTGGGGTATTGATGATCATGAGAAAGGTGAGGGATCAGCCAGGAACTAAACGGGAGGAACTTGTTAATGATCTCAAGGCAGCTGGGACCACAGTCACCAAGAAAACTATTGCTAACACACTACACCATAATGGATCAAATCCTGCAGCGCCTGAAGGTCCCCCGCTCAAGAAGAACATGAAAGGCCCGTCTGCAGTTTGACAATGAACATCTGAATGATTCAGAGAAGGCTTGGGAGAAGCTGATGCGGTCAGATGAGACCAAAATCGAGATCTTTGGCATCAACTTGACACGCCGTGTTTGGGAGGAAGAGAGATGCTGACTATAACCCCAGAACCCCATCCCCACCGTCAAGCATGGAGGTGGAAACATTATGCTTTGGGGGTGTTTCTCTGCTAAGGGGACAGGACGACTTCCCTGCATCGAGGAGAGGATGGACGGGGCCATGTACCGTGAAATCTTGGCTGATAGCCTCCTTCCCTCAGCCAGGACACTGCAAATGGGTCATGGAGGGGTCTTCCAGCAGGACAATGACCCTGAACATACGGCCAAGGCAACACAGGAGTGGCTAAAGAAGAAGCACATGTAGGTGATGGAGGGGCCTAGCCAGTCTCCGGACCTTAATCCCATAGAAAATCTGTGGAGGGAGCTGAAGCTTCCAGATGCCAAGCATCAGCCTCAAAACCTGAAGGGTTTGGAGAGGATCTTCAGAGAGGAGTGGACCACAATCCTTCATGAGATGTTCACACACCTGGTGACCAACTACAAGAAGCGTCTGACCTCTGTGTGTCCAACAAGGGTTTCTCCACCAAGTACTAACACATGTTTTGCAAGGGGATCAAATACTTATTTCCCAGTTAAATTCAAATCAATTTTTATCTTTTATATAATGTCAATTTCTGGATTTTCTTTTTGATATTCTTACTCTCACTGTTAAAATAGACCTACCATTACAATGATAGACTTTTGGTTTCTTTGTCAGTTGGCAAACTTACAAAATCTGCAAGGGATGAAATACTTATTTCCTCCACTGTATACATATATACACACACACACACACACACACACACACACACACACACACACACACACACACACACACACACACACACACACACACACACACACACACACACACACACACACACACACACACACACACACACACACACACACACACACACACTATTTGTTGCCAAGGTCTGTAGATCGAGCCCTTACCATGGCTGGATGTAAAGCTAAGGTTTAGCACAGTGGGGTGCCCATAGCGCCCGGTCACTCACAGCAAATAGACTGTGACACACTCCCCTAGAGAGACTTCTGAGGCCTGGACGATCCATTCTATTGACTCTGTCTTAGGTGTTTCAGGGTAAACAAGAATAGAACAGAGAAAATATTTCTGCAGTTCAGAGAGGCTCTACTTAAAAGGAGAAAACATGTGAGACGTGTATGCACTGCTAAAGTAACATATCTAGACAGGCTTGACAGTCAGAGTTAAAAACACTGCCATGGTTTGTAATGATTGTAGATTTCACACATTTCATATTTCAATCTGTTGACGTGGGTGAGGATTAACTCTCTCTTTATTTATTTTGATGACGTCAGGCTGTTGAGGATGGAAACCTGGAAGAGATGGAGGAGGAGATCCGCCTGAAGAAGCGCAAACGCAAGAGACGCCAGGACAAGGACTCGTCGAGCAGGGATGAAGGGGGCTCCAAGGCCAAGAAGAAACGTGGACGTCCGCCAGCTGATAAACACTCCCCCAACCACCCCAAAGTCACCAAGCAAATGAACACCATCATCGATACGGTCATCAACTACAGGGATGGGTAAGCAAATATAGTTACATCGTGTTAGGTGTCAGATCTGACTTCTTATAACTAGCACATCATCACATTGAGCGTGCAGTTGGCATCTTGTTTCTGAGAGCACAGCAGTTCTGTGTCTTCGTAAAATAACGAGTATGATCTGCTGAACTTTAATCGAGTTTTAGCAGAGGGCTCTCGGTGTTGCTGTTTTCAGCTGCTCCGACAACAATTGGACACTTTGGAATACAAAAGGGAAGTCAAAGTCACAAACCGATACACAATGATATCAATATTATGTTCATAAATCTCCAATTCATCCTGATGGTTACCTTCTGAGCTAATGCCGAAAAAAGACTTGGTACAAGTTGCGTTTCATTTATTTCCAGGTTCCCTATTAGTGTGGTGTATAAATCCAGAATATTGTAAAACAGGTGCTTTTGCTTTGACACTAAATCCTCTTGTTCTTCTCTTCTCTCTCACTCTGATTAGCCGAAATTAAGTTAATTATCTTTTTTCTCTATAAATAAATTAGAGAGAAAAAAGACATTGGGGGCAGATGGCATGTCATGTAATTGATGTTAGCCCTACAACCGTTTAACGCCAACTACCTTATGAAGCATCCACAGACTGATTAACCCAAAGAAGTGACTTTATAAACTTTTGACAAGTTGGAAGAAAGGGGCTGTGTAGTTCTACTGTCCCTATGGTATATATCTAAATAGGAAAGGCATTTGTGTAATGGGGGTAAGAAAATCAGGAGTCAAATGCAGAATGAAAGAGGGGAGGCGGGTATAAGTGTATAAAACAAAGAGCAAGCTTTATGAAATTAGTTCTGCACATCAGAGTGCTGCTTTGCCTCCTGTCATCATTAATGGACGTCTCTTTTAAATGACTGCTCAGAGAAGAAGATAGGAGTCGAGGAGGGGAACATTAGAAATGAGAAAGGTCTTAGGAAAGACAGGCATAACACAAGAATAATCACAAAGATAAGACACAGCTGGAGGAGGCAGCAAAAAACCCAAGGGCAGCAGATGATTTAAATCAGACAATTACATAGGTGGAGAGAATTAGCGCAAAACAATTACAAAGGCTGGGAAAACATACTAAGACTGGAAGTAAAAATAGACATGGCAGAAAGAGAAAATACTTTTCAAAATAAAAGGGAAATATTAAACACAAAAACCAAGATTAGAGTGTAGCAAGTAGTTATTTGTAGTATATATGTGTATAAGTGAACAGACAGCCTTGTCTTTGGGGACGCACACTTTGATAAACATCCTTGTGTTCTCTCAGTCCAACAGTTAAAGTTTGAGTGTGTCGTCTGTCCTGTTGTGTCTGCATTTTTTCCTTTTCAACCATGTGCAATATCAAAAGTATGCATGTCTCTGTCCCTGTAATATTCACCCGTGCATGAAACAACTACTCAAATATGCACTGGCTGACTACTACACTAAAGCTTTTTCCAGGAAAATGCTACCCGCCTTTCCAAAAGTCAAATTCTTTCCTCTCCCTGTTGACGGTTGTTAGTCCCAGAGCATCTCATTCACAGCTCTGGCACTCCTCTCCGGTTACTGGACTTGGACAGAATTTTGGAATTCCTACTTCCGGACTTTTGAAATTCATGGTTTCGGTGATATTTACCCAAAACGAGTACATGTTGTTAAACATGAATGCAACCGTAATCTGAATTGGCTCTTCCTAGAATACAAAAAAATGATATATATATTTTCTGGAGCTAAGCAACTGTTTTGGCTCCGTTTCCTGACTGAGGTGTACATACAGCACAGTATGTTCCTGACAGATGTTGATGTCTGTTCCGTCTTTCTTCCACAAGCCATTATAAGTATTGAAGCCTTGGCGATGTGTCTTTTAGGAGAGAAAACTATTGGGTTCTTTCCTTAAGATCCTTTTTGTCATAATAAAGGACTGGAAGGCATGGAAGATGTATAACCCAATTGTAACACCTCATCCACCTTTGTGGGTTCAGCGCGTTCACAATCCCCACTCAGCGAGTATACGTCCTCTGGGATCAGCATTAAGATTACACTGAAAAAAGTGTAGGCAGTTCAGTTGTCCATTCTTAAAGCTCACTATTTCTTTTTAAAGATGAACACACGGGTGTATTATTATAAATAATAATGGAAGATCTAAAATCTGGTAAATAAATAAATCTGAATTAACAATTTCTTTTGAGTTTCCTCTCTCTTGCATGCACTGAGGTCTACACTTGGCAGTCATTCATCTTTTCTAACTTAACCCTATTTTCCTTATGTTACAAGAAAACTATGTTCTGTAGCCTTGGTTATTGTAAAGTGCTGATCTGGATATTTTTTCTGTGCAAAACACAGCACATTCTGACAGATGCTTACAGACATGAAAATCAGTTTGAGTCAAAATCAGTTTTGCAGACATACAAGGACTTTGTCTGGAGGTTATGTGGCAGTACTATAAACACGGTCAATATACTTATAAAGGAATATGAAAATGTAAAATAGAAAAGAGAAACTAGTGCTGTTGCACTGAGGTCAACACTTTTGTGCCATGCTGTTTTCTCACCTTGTTTTATATTGCCTTGGGATGTGTGTGTGTTCTCATGTGGTCTGTCCAGTGGTGGCAAAAGGTTTAGCTTCTTTACTTGAGTAAAGTACCAAACTGTATAAATACTCATTATTAAGTTAAAGTACTGCATCGAGAATGGTACTAAAGTCAAGTACAAGTATTTAAGTACTCAAAAGATATTTAAACATGAATAATCTAACATTTGTATATTAATTTATATAACAAAAAACTTCTTTGCAAATTTGCTGCCAATACATTTTCTGTTAACCCACTCATGGTTTCAGTTACATAAATATCATGTTGGATGGTTTAATTTGCACCAAATAATCCTATTTTAAAAGTATTTTCTAATTATTGTCAGTCAAAATCTGAATTTTTTAAGTAACTAATGTATTAATCTATAAAATAAACATAGTGGGGTAAAAAGTAAAGCATCTGCTTGAAAATGAAATATCTAGTTATACAGCTATATTGTATACACAAATATCTGTTTTAAATGTGTAGCAGCTGTGCAGTTTATGGATATGCTTTTTAAAAATGAGGGAAAACAAATAGGAGAACCTAGATTATGTTTCATTACAGAAATACATCCTTGTGTCTCCTCGTAGGGTCTGGATTAGTTTGAATTGATCTTGTGGGCACACATTGGTAACAGACCCACATTTACTGGAAGCCTCTAATTTATTTACCTTAAGTTTGTTTGTCACTCCCTGTAGCTCCACACTCTGCCCTCTAGTGGTTATAAATGATCCACTGCATATTAAAGGTCACAACAACAGTGTTGTTGTTTTACTTTGAGAAACAAATGTCCTCTCCTTTCAACACGTAACATCTCCCAGCTGGTCAAGGATTAGAACTCCTTTCCTGTTTTTTCCCATCTCAAGGTTGCTAGTTAAGCAGAGTTTAAGCAAACAAAGTCTCACAGCACAACTGCAAGAAATCTGTTATGGCCAAATTGAACCCCTAATAATGTAATCAGGCATTGATCATATGCAGCAGATGGTTCTGTGTGGCAGAGATCTTAGTGTGGGCGTAGTACAGCTTTGTGGGAGGAAGCAGTGCAGATGAGCAGCAATTTATATTATTGACCTAAGACATTTTATGTAAATTACACAAAAGTGCATTTCCTCTCACTGACTTGCATCTTTCCCCATTTTCTCGAACTCTGATGAGATTATTTGGGGGGAAATTGCATATAATAACTTTCCTTTGCTGTTTCTTTGGTTTAAAGCATCCCTCAATTGACAGGAGCAGATTCCTTTAAGTATTCAGAGTATTTAGTCTTAACATTTGGTATTTACTTGTCCAGAGAAATAGATGGATGGAACAATTCTCTATACTCCTGCTATGATTTGTTGTTGTTACTTTACCCTCAGTCTTCTTTCCATATTGCAATTATTTATGTCTGCTCAGTAGCTTTTTGTTTTCCTCGTCTACATAGAAACTGGCCCCGGGCATAAACACTTTAATATTAATTGTGCTCCATTATTATTTTTTACTTGTTATTCCAAATGTAATCACCAAGGAAAGCTTTGTGGTTCTCACAGAAAACATGACTCACAATTTAAGTATTACTGGTATTAATGTTGTTATTAGGAACATTTCACCTTACATTTTGATGTGGTGGTGTTGATTTTTGTAATCAGCCGTGAGTAGCATTTGGAGCTGTTTGATGTGATTGTTGTTTTGTTACCAGGGCAGGGAGACAACTGAGCGAGGTCTTCGTCCAGTTACCTTCCAGGAAAGAGCTCCCGGAATATTACGAGCTGATCAGAAAACCTGTGGACTTCAAAAAGATCAAGGTTTGTCAATTACTGTGTCTCAGCAAAACCTATGAATGATGGATATGATGGTTATAATGAAAACAAGGGGGGTCATGGAGCAGAATGAAATATGATACAGAATATACGACCTTGGTTTAATGAAAGGCGCTATATACATTAAAGTTATTATTATTATACAGTGAACAGCACAAACACAAATATTATTTTATAGTTATAATATTTCTTTAAACTGTATCTTTGTAAACCATCAGAGATGCACAGTATATTTTACCATACAGTATGTGGGTTGCAGAAACTGTATACAATTGGTTTATTTTTTAAGCAAAAATGTGAATGATTGAATGTTTTCCTTATCTTTGTAATCAAGGTACATTTGTTTTGAGTCCTAAAACAATTTATTTTAATTAGTCATCTTTCTGCTTTTAATGAAACTATGAAACCATGTTTTTATTAGTGTTTCTCGCATCTTAGGGACAAACTGATTGCTCAATAGTCAACAGACTAACAGTAACAACATCTTTCTTAGTTGCAGCGATAATTCACTTCAGTACAAGTAATCATTTAAATGTTTGAAATGTATTTGCATTGAGCATTGAATACCACAGGTTGTGGGAGCTCTCAGAAACTGAGAGGGATGAGTGTGAATCACGCTGATGTCTTCTCCGTCGACAGGATCGTGTGAGGAACCATAAATACAAAGGAGTGGGAGACCTGGAGAGGGATGTGATGCTGCTTTGTCACAACGCCCAAACCTTCAACCTGGAGGGATCCCAGGTCAGAACCCCAACCCACGTGTGAAACTGACATTTCCTTAAAGGGGCCCTATTATGCTCATTTTCAGATTCATATTTGTATGTAGTGTCTCTACTGTGACTTGTTTACATGCTTTAATGTTCAAAAAGCTCTTTATTTTTCTCATACTGCCTGTGCTGCAGCACCTCTTTTCACCCTCTGTCTGAAACCAGAGCCCAGTCTGCTCTGATTGGTTGGCTGTTGTGAACCGCTTAAAGATCTCCTGCCCCTTAGCCTATCACGTATGTGTTTAAGCGATAACCAATAGAAGCGCATGTGTTATATAGTGATGTCACTATGTTATGAAATTAAACAATGGACTTCAATTGAGCTTTTTCAGGAAGGGGGGGAGTGTGTGGGAGAGAAACTCCCCCTGAGAGAACTGCGATGACACACTACAGGATAGGGTAAACCCTAAAAAGCATAATACGGCCCCGTTAATTGAAGTCCTCTCATTAGGGCCCAAGCACCGGCAGCAAGTACTGGTTAATACCACAAAGAGCCCCCCCACATATAACATTCACCTAGACGTATAACATTTGGGAGGCGTATGTATCACATGGAGATATACAAAAACCCACTCTTGGAGGTGTATTGTGAACCAATCAGAAAGTCAGTACCTAAATGAATTAACATTTGTCTTTGTTAACTCTCAATTTTCATGCTCCAGTTCAGATGGTTTTGAATCTATAGTCTCTTTCAATTTTTCTGCGACTGGGCTTTTCTTTGATTTGACTTTGTCAGCCTGTATACATAGCAACCAGGGGAGATACAAGGCTTTTTTAAAGACATGGTCTATATTTCATTCCTATGTTTTGAATTGCCACTTTCAGTCGTCACATACTAACTATCAATTAATAATTGACTCTGTGTGTAGTACCAACCCCCCCCCCCCCCCCCCTAGTTTTATTCTTCTTCCCTTTTCCTCTTCATCAATTCTTAATCCTTCCTCTTTTATTATCATATCAGCCTTTGAGCAGGTTCTTCTCTCCCATATTCCCAGTAGAGCATGTCATTCATGCTGTTTGAACATCTGCTTGCATTATTTCTTTTTTGTCTTTCCCTCAGATATACGAGGACTCCATTGTCCTTCAATCTGTGTTCAAGAGTGCAAGACAGAAGATTGCCAAGGATGAAGAGAGTGAAGATGACAGCGATGAAGATGATGATGACGAGGACGAGGACGAGTCAGAGACTGAGGGTAAGAAACACAGTTTAGAGGCCATGCATACAAATACAAAGACACGCACACGCACGCACACGCACGCACGCACGCACGCACGCACGCACGCACGCACACCCACACCCACACCCACACACACACACACACACACACACACACACACACACACACACAGCTGTGGTTTGAGATACGCTTTTCCCCCATCCTTTACTACGGACTATTATTGCCTTCAGGCTGTAGCCCAGAAGAAAGATATCATGTAAAACAGGGGTTCCCAACCTTTATTGTGCCAAGGACCGGCAGATACATTAAAAAAAAATCGCGGACCGGTTGTCAATTTTAACTGATTTTAATATTTACTCACCACCAGCAGGTAGCAACAGAGGCTAATTGTATGTAACAGCCTGAACAAATACTAGAACAATATGCATCCAAAACATATTAACAAAGTTTAAAAAAGAACCGGTGTCATTTTTTGGTTTTTCGGAAAACCAAAAAACCGACGTTATTCAGTTTTTAAACCAAAACGGGAAAACAGATAAATTAACGTTTTGGTTTTGTTTGTATGATTTACGGATAATCCAGTGAATGCTGGGAAAACGAGGAAAAGCCGCATTATGAACACTGGCATTTGTTTTCAGAAGATATTATGATAGTGTCGTTCGTTCCGGTGCACTCCGACAGCATTAGCACTACATCGAGATTAAGATTAAACTAATTTATTTTGGGAACAGCCGCATATATGGAGTTAGCCATATGTGTGTAAATTACTGTTCATAAACATTTGAAAACAAATGCCGGTGTCGGACAGACACAAACACACCGAACACACAGAGCTGAGCTGAGCAGAGCACATACACACACACATCATGCGCCTTGGTGACTGACTGGACATCTCCTTCATAAAACTAATAAAAGGGGGAGTAATCGGGCAGTTCGATGTGTGTAGATGTGTGTGTATAGGTGTGTGTGGTTAACACGTAGCAGCCTGCAGTCACTCTTAAGCTGTTCTGATGAAGTTAAACACAGTCATACTGGTGCTGCACTTCTCAGAAGCGGAGTATACGTCCCGCTGCCTCCGGATGCTGCAGCCGTTTTAAGAAGTGAAGGAGGGTTTCCTTCTATAAAGCAGCTGCGGGCAGCAGATCGTGAGAGTCCCGGACATTAATTCATAGATCAAGGCAGACTGGTTTACTCTTCTGTTTTGCCAATCCGGTGCTTAAACAAATAGCTCTACACCCCTGGCCGACATGTCCTTAAAATGAAGTCCGAGTTTGAAATATATCTCAAATAATGTATGCACCACCATTTCCCCACATAAACATAACAGTCTGCAATCAAACGGTTGTCTCCTGTGCGCTCCTCTTCCTACTTGGCGCACCGGTAACAAGCTCGTGCGCACGAGAGGAGACCTTATAAGGCTGAGCCGCCGAATCCCTCATCATAAAAGCCATTTTCAACGGTTTTCTGGTGAAAGATTAACTAGCTACTGGATGAAATAATATGACTGGTGGCATAGGTGCGAAAATTAAACACTTTTTGAAAAAATATTATGATAAAATATTTTTATATATTTATAATTCTGCAAATATTACGATAAACTCACAGCTATTTCGCGGCCCGGCAGTAACACCTCTGCGGCCCGGTACCGGTCCGCGGACCGGGGGTTGGGAACCCCTGATGTAAAAGACAGGAGAACACAATTATAACACACGGGGAACACAAGAGTAAATTCTACAGCTCTTTAGGAGCTTTCTATCGATCTTTCACAGGAATTTCTTCAAAAGCACCGCAAGGAATGAGATGAAGACAGTCAAACAACTCTCATTATCTTGATTTAACAAGCTGCTGTTTTTGCTTGAAAAATGATTTAAGATCAATTAACCTGTTGTTAAGCCCCATTCCCCCACGGGCGGGGGGAAAAACGCATCACTGCAAGAAACAGCGTCTGAGGGCTTCTTAATATTTAAAAACCTATGAATGTGTCATACCCAACTAACGAGAAGAAGCTCAGCTACCTGTCGATACGAACCATTTTTACCGAAACAAAACACAAGTCTCACAAGAAGCGTCTAAATGAGCCCTGGGCGAAAAAATGCTATCGCACTTAGCACAGAAGTCACAGCTTAAATACCCTTATTACTTATCGTATCTGCAAAAACAAGATATCGATTAGCAAGCTGAGATTCCACAGATTCCAGAAATATTAGTATCATCACTGGGTGATCCGAACTCGCGACAGGGGAAGCGAAAACAGACATCACAACACGTAGCTTCACGGAGGAAGCTTCTTACCTTAGCTGTTGTTCTGATCAAAAGTTGTGTTCAATGGCATCAAAACGATAAAAACGCTGCTGAAGGTTAATCCAATGTGTCTGTGTCACTTTGAAATGATTACCGATAATCCATCTTCATATTTACTAGTTTGAGCCTAGGTTTCAGTTTTCAGTTTTCAGAGCATAACATTGCTTTCGACTGCGTGCGCATAGCTCTCACTTGTCAATGGTAACGTGTGTGTGTATGTGGAACTTCCCCTTCGATTCTATTGACTCTAACGGTTAAAAAGAGATGTCAATCACCAAAATCGACCAATGGGTTCCAGAGAAACGGCAAATAAACCCAAATCCACCCAAATGTGTTTTTTTTTTCTTCTAAATCTCTCTAAAAAGGTCAAATGTCACTTGTTTTGCATCAATCTTGATACAGGGTACTTATTATATGTTATAGTTTGGATTCCTAAAGCTTTTAGTCTACTATCCCATCATTCAAGGGTGGTTTTCACTATAAGTAATGTTTTTTTGGACGGACACTATAATTTAATTTGTTTTACTATGTTCAATCTGAATTTACTGTAAAATAAAACAATTCTATATTGATTCTGACTTTTCTACATCCAACTCTCAGGTTTATAATTGCTTTGAGAAAAAAGATTATTAATTTACCCCTTTTAGAAATGAAGTTATGGTCATTTGTTCTGGGAATGTCATTTTCTAGCCTGAGGCCTGAAAAACAGGCTTGGGGCTTAACTGGTTAAAAGATAGCTTGTTCTGTCAATTTTGTCAAGCTCTAATTGATGTAGATTGCAGCTTTTCAGTTCAAAATAAGATTCCAGAGACACAATTATATCAACTCGGATGAGCATGATTTCTGAATAAGCAAACGATGACAAAGCCAAGACTTTGAATCATGCCTACTTCTTTCCTTCAGCTAAGTCTGTGCGGGTCAAGATCAAGCGGAAGAAGGAGGCGCGCAGCCACGACAAAGGCAAGAAGAAGCAGAGCCGAGGGAAGGCCAAGCCTGTGGTCAGCGATGACGACAGCGACGAAGACCCGGATGACAATGTAGGTCGTTCCACCTCACTGCATTTGACTGGATTCTTTTTTCTCTGTTTCAAACTCAGAAGGTCTCGTTCATGTTAATATAATTCTGACCGCAACCAGGGAAACAAAAAAATATAGGAATAACACTGATTATCAATTTCAAAAATGTAATCGTTTTCATATAATTCGTAACCACAGCTTAGGCAGGAGGAAAAACATGGAAAACAGTAGCACTCTGTTTCATCCAGAACATGAACTGAGAAGCACCAAAAGAGCTTCCTACCAAATGATCTACAAAATCTTTGTTAAAATAGGAGAATCCGACAGTTAAAAAGTATAGGTTTGAAGTAGGTGAATTCAAAGCTAGGTTTTTCCTATCAAAATCAACTCTTTTTAAAGAAAAGGAACTCTTTTCTAGCAAATTTGGGCCTCTTTAAAGCGCACATTAAGGATTATTAAAATATTTAAAGTAGTTTTTTTTTTTTATTAGAACAGACGATCGGAGAATAACTTCAAAAGTTGTCAAGATTCCCAAACTTATTGCATCCAATCCCAATAAATGTGCATGTCAGGATTTGAGTTTCTTCAGCAAAAACGCGGCACATCCTCACATTTGAGAAGGCAAGGCAAGGCAAGGCAAGTTTATTTATATAGCACCTTTCAACACAAGGTAATTCAAAGTGCTTTACAAAAATGGAAGACATTTTAAAAATGGCATTTAAAATCAGTCATTAAAAAGGAAAGATAATAAAATAAACATTAAAAGAAAAAATACATGGATAAAAGTTAAAAGTTACAGTGCAGTTTAAGATGTGAATAGTTCAATTAAAAGCAGCGGCAAAAAGAAAAGTCTTCAGCCTGGATTTAAAAGTAGTAAGAGTTGCAGCGGACCTGCAGGTTTCTGGGAGTTTGTTCCAGATATTCGGAGCATAATAACTGAATGCTGCTTTACCATGTTTAGTTCTGACTCTGGGGACAGAAAGCTGACCAGTCCCTGAAGACCTGAGGGTTCTGGATGGTTCATAATTTAGCAGTAGGTCAGACATGTATTTTGGGCCTAAACCATTCAAAGCTTTATAAACCAGCAACAATATTTTGAAATCTATTCTTTGACACACAGGAAGCCAGTGTAAAGACTTCAGAACAGGAGTGATGTGATCCACTTTCTTAGTGTTAGTGAGGACTCGAGCAGCGGCGTTCTGAATTAGCTGCAGCTTTCTAATAGATTTTTTAGTGAGACCTGTAAAGACACCATTGCAGTAGTCGAGTCTACTGAAGATAAAAGCATGGACAAGTTTTTCCAAATCCTGCTTTGACATTAGTCTTTTAATCCTAGATATGTTCTTTAGGTGATAGTAGGCTGATTTAGTAACTGTTTTAATGTGACTGTTGAAACTCAGGTCAGAGTCCATGACTACACCTAGATTTCTGGCTTTATCTGTTGTTTTGAACATTGCAGACTGAAGCTCAGCGCTAACTTTTATACGTTCTGCCTTGGCTCCAAAAACCATTACCTCAGTTTTATCTTTGTTTAATTGGAGAAAGTTCTGACACATCCAGTCATTGATTTGTTCAATGCACTTACTCAGTGTTTGAATTGGAGCATAATCTCCTGGTGAAATTGTTACGTAAATTTGTGTGTCATCCGCATAGCTATGGTAACTTATTTTGTTGTTTTTCATTATCTGAGCCAGTGGTAGCATGTAGATGTTAAAGAGAAGAGGCCCCAAGATGGAGCCTTGAGGTACCCCACATGTCATATTTGTCAACTCAGATGTGTATTTACCTATAGAAATAAAGTTTTTTCTGTCCTTTAAGTAGGACTCAAACCAATTTAGAACTGTTGCCGAAAGTCCCACCCAGTTTTCTAGTCGGTCTAGTAATATGTTGTGGTCAACAGTGTCAAATGCAGCACTGAGATCTAATAATACTAACACTGAAGTTCTGCCACTGTCTGTGTTTAAGTGGATGTCATTGAAGACCTTTACAAGAGCAGTCTCAGTGCTGTGGTTTGGACGAAATCCTGACTGGAACACATCGAAACAGTTATTTAAATGCAAGAAGTTACTCAACTGTTGAAATACTACTTTTTCAATGATTTTACCTAGAAATGGCAGGTTTGATATTGGCCTGTAATTGTTCATTACTGAGGCATCTAGATTATTCTTTTTTAAGAGCGGTTTAATGACTGCAGTTTTCAGGGCCTCTGGAAAAATACCTGAGTGAAGAGATGTGTTTACTATATGAAGTAGATCTGAGGCCATGCAAGGAAAAACATCTTTGAAAAATCCTGTTGGAATAATATCAAGGCAGCAGGAGGAGGATTTCAGAAGTTGAATAATGTCCTCTAAGTTTTTACCATTAATCTGATGGAATTGTGTCATGGTGTTTGAATTGATATTAGGTGGACATAGGGACAAAACATTTGCTGTACCTGATGTAGAGGCACTGACTGCTTGTCTAATTTTCTGAATTTTGTCAGTGAAGAAGGAGGCAAAATCATTGCACGCCCTGGTGGATAGAAATTCAGAGGCTACTGACACTGGGGGGTTAGTTAGTCTGTCGACGGTAGCAAACAAGGCACGTGCGTTGTTTTTGTTTTTGGTAATGATGTCAGAGAAGAAAGACTGTCGTGCGTTTTTCAATTCCAAATTATAAAGGCCAAGTCTCTCTTTATAGATTTCAAAGTGAACCTGGAGATTTGTTTTTCGCCACCTACGTTCAGCTTTTCGACACTCTCTTTTTTCTGTTCTCACGGTCATGGCCTTTCTCCATGGAGATATTTTCTTGCTAATCACTTCCTTTATCTTAGTTGGAGCAATGGTATCTATAACATTTTTAATTTTTGAATTAAAATGATCTACTAGCTCATTTACTGAGATGTTAGCAGGGGCAAGTGTGGATGAGAAATTATGAGTAAACATTTCCCTAGTATTTTCAGTTAAATATCGCTTTGTGGTTACCTCTTTCTGAACATTTTTGTGAACAGAAATAGAGCTCTCAAAGAAAACACAGGAATGATCAGAGAGTGCAACATCAGTCACCACAACCTTTGAGATATTCAGACCCTTTGAGATAATTAAGTCCAGAGTGTGCCCCTTATTGTGCGTGGGCTCCGCCACATGCTGAGTCAGTCCATAGTTATCAAGAACACAAAACAGTTCTTTAGCCCCTCTGTCCTGGGGGTTGTCAACATGGATGTTAAAATCACCAAGCTGGAGAAGCTGGAAGCTGTGAACATTTACTTGATAATGACTACGTTGAACAGTTACCAACTGCCAAGATTAGCTAGCTGTCATTAGACTTCTCTATAATCAGTTCTGCAACCATCAAAAGCTGAAGTCTGACATTACTGTAATTACATCGGTTTTCGGGCATCAGTTGTTCCCTCGGGCATCAGTTGTTCCCTCGATTGCTTTTCATGTTAAAACCGATGCCTGATTTTCAAGTAAATGTCAGTGAAGCCCAGAAATCTGTACACTGAAGGTAAAATCTGCAGGAAGCCAACCAAGCGGCTTAAAACCACAAGCAAGCGTCCCCATATCCTCAAAATCAGAGCGGAGTGGGAACTCAAGTGAATAACACAGCCCGGACCCACAACAAATTAAATGAACTTGAAAACAACACACAATTATATTTGTCTAAGATGTAACAAAAAGGCATAAAATCCATTAAGGGAATCTATGATTCCCTTAATGGATTTTATGCCTTTTTGTTACATTTACATTTATTGTTAAATTAATACAACTTGTGGGGTTTTGGGCCATTAAATATTCCATTAAAAGCACATCTCTCAGTCGTGACTGTAATTGACTGTATTATGCTCTTTCTTCTGTGGTTATCCTCCTCTTCAAACTGCTTAACAAACCACTAATGGGAAATTAGAGCCATGGCAACCACCATTTGAGTACTCATTTTCAAGTAATTATTACTAATAGATCATTGTTCCACCTACAAGCAAACATCACAAATGTAGTATTTCTTATATTCTCTTTCCAAATTAAGTTTATTTCAATGGGCGCTTTGTAGGCACGACCTGCAGATTTAATAAAAGCAGTGAGAGAAAATGTGAAAGATGTTTTGTGTCATTTACTGTAGCTGCGGATGTCAATCAAAAGAGTGACATGACACAGAGTCTGGGACGTTTTTTTAATTCAGGGGGACATTTTGTCCTTGTTCTTTGTCAAAGTTAGTGTTGAAAGGCACCGAAGAAAGTCTTAGTCTATTCAAATTCTGATACTCTCCAACCAAACCTAAGTCTCCATGTTTCTCTAGATTAATGAATTAGCCACAGAGTGCACTAACAACACTCTACCTTGAGCCCTTAATGAGTTATAAATAAACACAACAAATCTATTTGCAGCATGTTAAACTTATTTTTGACCTTTTTATTTTATACTTTAACAGTAACAGGCTCGAGGCCGATGTGCCTCTATTCACGCAACTACTGAAAAATAGAACAGTCTCTCAAAGTTTTTGCATGCAGTCATATTTTTGAAGAAATAAGTTAGGCTATTTATTTAAGGGGCCCTATCATGCTTTTTGGGGTTTTCCATTTCCTGTAGTGTATAATATCGTTTTTTGGGCATGTAAAGGGTCTGCAAAGGCTAAAATCCCAAAGTTCAAGCCAAAGTGAGTTTCTCTCACACACTCCCTGCCTGAAACCTCAATTGAACTCCTTTTTCTTCCGTGACATAGTGACATCACTGTGTAACAACACTTGTGCTTCTATTGGCTAGCGCTCCAATGCATTGTACGTAATAGGCTAAGGGGCGGGACATCTCTGAGTGGTTTATCAATCACAGCAGAGCTAGCCAGCTAACCAATCAGAGTATACTGGTCTCTGATTTCAGACAGAGGTAATTTAAGTAATTTAATTTCAGACATTTCGAATGCCAATACTGATATGTTTACACTGAAAGCCTATCAAGATGTGATGAGGCAGCGAGTGATTTTTATTACCCGCACCCAACCGACCCATATAAAAGCCTAACCCCAATACCTAACTTGCAAAAATATGGTTTGATCAATAACCCAAACCCCTATCGAGGATTTTTACATATATATAGTCTTCAAAATTGGTGTTTAATAGCAGTACAATTAAATAACCCTTTGTCAAAGACATACATTTTCCTATGAATCGATAAACCACGAGCAGCTATTGTCCGACCAATGACAATTTGGGTAACATTTGTATACCCCGTTTATCTAGGCCCTTTTTGTTTTGTGAGACTGCGGGAAACGGTATCTCAAGATTTCTGGATGTATAACACGTAGTAATTTTGAAAATAAAGCTGACTTTGACTTTGATCAGGTATCAACAAGCGGACCAGTGAGTGTCAGCGCTACAGTATGTTGTTGTAGTGCTAAGCTTTGAACTTTGATACCAATTGATCAATATTCAGCAGAGGTTGGCAGCTGGAGGCAGCTTCTCGTCATGCCAGCAGTGCTAGTTAACTGCAGGGTGTTTCAGGTAATGCAAACAGCCAAAATAAGACCTTCTCGAGAGCGTGGCCAGAAGCCATGAATCTCTTTGAATACAAATGTATGAGTGATTTCCTCAGCTGTCTATCACAGCACAAATGCTTGAAGTGCTTGAATATTGAAGTGGGAAATCAAGTACTAGAGTACCTACATAATAGCTCCCTTTTCAACAAAGGCCAAAAAAGTCCTTGAAATTCTGAAATATAAATATTTAGACAAAAGTTTTGTCCATCAAGTCATTATAATGAAATCCTCGGAATCAGAAACTGAAATTTATTTTTCTTCTTAACACTTTTGGTCTACTGTTGTTGATGCCCCTGTTAATGAACACTTAATATTCCAGGGAATTGTAAGGGCACGGTCACATTTGTGAACCATCGCCAACCGAGGCCATGTTCTCCTAGAAAGTGAATCAAAGTTGACAGCTTGAGAAGCGTGGCTGTGGGGTTTTGGAGCCCTCAGCGCTGTCTGTTTGATTATATGTATCTGTCCGTTTGGTTGTGTGTGACTGACCTATCAGCCGACTACAGGGTTCCCACGGGTCCTTTCAATCCTTGAACGTAAAAAAAAAATGGGCAATTGAAATGTTTCATGTTAGGTCCTTGAATTTGAAGAATTGGGCCTGGAAAGCCTTTGAATTACAGTTTTAAGGAGGTGTGGGAGCCCTATCAATATATTTAAAGTATTTTATTGACAGCTCAGTTTAAAAAATGTGACTAGTTTTGAGAGGGACTGACATTGATCCCATCATTTTACACATTTAATAAAAAAAAACACTTCAAAAGAAAGTTTGCACTCCTTGAAAATGAAAAAAAGAGCTTGAAAACGTAGTTTATACTTGACATTATTTGTCACATAAGATAAGAAACCTTTATTGTCACTGTATAAGTGAACCAAAATGTATTTTGGAGCAAGGATTAAAACTAAAGAAGTATACAAAAACAACATGTAAAACAGATCCATATAAAGACCTACTGTCTTGTGTGCTGCTCGTTCAAAGTAGATCTTTCTGGCAACTTAACCACAGATTTAAAACCTTCCACTTCCTCATCCTCCTCTTCATCTGCTTCTACAAACTAGATGGGAGAGAAGGATTAATAAGAGCTTCACCTTCAGACTTCTTTTCTCTGGAGATCTTTATCTGTTATTTGGTTGATATAATGCTGTTGACCTGCGCCGCCTCTCAAGCACAATGCACCTGATGCATACTGTGTCCTCCGCCTGCTCTTCCTCCTTGTCAGCCTTTGAATCTCCCTCTCTTCTAATACCTTTTGTCTTTCTCTCGTCTGCAGGACCAGTCAGACAAGAGTGACGATGACTGAGGACAAGAGGATATTAATTATGACACTTATAAACACAGAGGACATATCTTCCGTCGTCATTGTTCAGGTTCATATTCTGTACTTTTTTTTTTTTTACTTCATTTGTCCTCTTTGTAAGTTTGTAGTGTGTTTTGTCGTACCTTCTCCTACCGGCTTTGAAATGTATTACATGTATTCGATAAGCTACAGCAATACCAATCTGCTTATATTCCTGTTTTTAAGACAATTTTTTAGTATATTTTTTAACTCTGCTTCAAAAGCCGATTTAAATTCTGTATGAAAAAAAAGGAAGAAAAAAAAAAGATTTGGTCAAGCTATATTCTTTTGCTTGCTTGCACTTTTAGAACATGAAATATTGAAATTAAAATAACAGATCGAAATTAGAAAAAGTGTGTTATAAACTAAATATATATGGAAAGCCAAGGACATCCTATCTAATTTGGATATCCACCGGTGGTAAAAACAAAGGCAATCAATCAAGTTTTTTAACTTTGGAATAATTGTTTCACCTTGTGCAGTGCCAAAATGTCAGAGAAATTGGTAGTTCGTTGAACCCCTCCCCATAACCAGCGATTGATCAATCATAGCTTAGCAACCGGACTTTTATGTCAAGCTTTATATTTCTCCGCCTTTGAAGCTCGGTACGAGAGACACTCGGTACGAGAGACACTCGGTACGAGAGACACTACTGTTAGTCTAAAGTGGGGTGTCTTTCCAAAACCAGAAATAAAAGAGCAAAATAGAAGAAACAGCATGTTGTCAGCGGCAAATGTTTGACTGTCCAGCTTAGAAATACTACACAAATAAAATAATATTACAATTAGTTTAATCTTTATTATTAATAAAAGAACACATACTGTAGTTTACTTTCAAGGCCAGGAAGAGCTTAACTTCTAGGCATGTCTTTAGGCATGATGTCGCATTTGTACTTGCACATTTTGAGAATGTAAACTATTTTCTAAGTTTTTCTTTTGAAATATATTTCAAACAAGTTAGCTGAAAAAAAGGTGGCTATTTTTCTTAGCTAGCTGCCAACATTTGTTAGCATCAGCTGCCATTTCAGATTGATTGATGGCAGCTAGCTTAAAATGAGAAGCGGCTTTTTGCCTGAAATAAAAATAGCACAACATTTCGAAAGTAAGTCGACCTGCGAAAAAGGCGCAAAATGTAAAGCTTGACAGTCATAGCAACATGAACTACGAGAGACGGGGCTTAACGAACACTCAACAAGGATATTTTTAGTGTAAACTGTTTCCTGACGCTATATTAACCTATATCTTACAGCCAGCACAGCTATATGTCAGTTGTTGCTCGTTGACCTACATATAATCTTGAAGTGACCATAAATGCTGAATGCTTTTTTTTAAATTGCTTTTATTAAGATAAATGTAACTTTACATTTTGTAGGCGGCACATTGTTTAGAGAAGAAGTTGTTTCATGTATCCTTTCCTCTTATGATTTCAAGTTGTGGTGTTTAAGAGCAGAAACTTTGAAATTGTTGTGAACGTTTTTTTCAGTCAGAAAGGAGCTATTGTATGAAACCGGTATTTATCGTAGCTAAATATAGCTTTATAAAGTGTCTAAAAACATTTAGCTCCTGTTGCAAACAGTTTGTAAAGAACCGAGATTTAGCTGGATTCTTACAGACTATAAAAGCTGGTTAACAAAGGAAAATATTACAAGGAAAACAGTATTATTGGATTGAAACATTTTATTTGGATGCCATTGAATATAACAGTTTATTTCAACAATGTATTGATTTCTTTTGAATAAGGTCATTTGTGTTCCTGTATTAGTTAGAGCCCTCATTTAGTCCAGTTTATATGTTGTTTGTAGCATGATCTCTTTTGGCAATATACTGTATTCACGCAGATATATTTTTTGTTTGTTTGTGTAACATGTGCTTGCCGACTCTTCATAAGTGTGACTTAATCTTTGCTTTCTTTGCACAGTGTCTTTGTGGTTGTATGTCATAGCCCAGGGCAAATAAAATCTCATCGATTTTCAGCACAAAATACCTGTTCTTGTTTATTTTTTCATTCTTACTGGGAACCATTTCTATTTGTTTGTTTAACATTTAGTCTGGAAACCCTTCATTTCTTTTTTTTCTCAATGTTTAGTAAAAAGATGAGGGCCTACAGGTATCAGCAGTTGAGTTTTAAGTTGTAATTCCCTTTCTGAACAGATAAATGCACATAGGTAAATAGCCTTTCCATGACAAGATGATCAAATTAGAAACACACGTATTTAGTAATGACACTTACTAAACACTGTTAATATAATCAAAATAAATCTATAAAGAACCATTATAAACAGCATTGGTTGACCAAAGTGCAGTACTTAATTAAAATATAGCATGAATTATTTTATTTTTTTAAAGAGTAGAAATTATAACTTAAAGGTGGGGTAGGTAAGTTTGAGAAACCAGCTCGAGATACGCTCTTAACATCCCGATAGCAATGAATATCTTAAGTGCTTTGACAAAAAATCCATAAAAAAATGTCATCTGTGGAAGCCGTAATACTGTAAAAAGCACGACCAATCATTTTAGCCGGCCCGGCTAAAATAACTGGATGGCCTACCTGCCTGTCAGCCTTCCATCTGTGCACAAACTTATCTCGTGCCCTCATTGGTCATGTGCGCGTTCGTGTGTGTTGGAGGAGGGGCTCTATAAGGAAGTGGCAGATTTTCTCCGGCTGTGTATTTTCAAATTCTAGCGCACTCGAGCTGGTTTCTCCAAAATTACCTACCCCACCTTTAAGAAATTAATAAAGAGAGGGAGGAAAAAAACATTGAAAATAAATTAAAAGGTAACAAAAGTGATGTTAAGTGTTTAGTTTTTAAGTGTTTGGTTATAAAAACGGTCACACTACTGCTGCTTCATAATGGAGTTTAGAAACAGTATGTCGAGAAAAGGAAAAGTCTTCATGACCTGACAGACAATATACATACATATACACTCAAACAAGTTACTTAAAATAATACAATAATATTCGTATATTTACAATTATGACAGTCTTAAATAGCCATGTGTCAATAATAATAATATATATATATATAAATTGTACCTTTATATTTTACCCTTTTGATTTTAGTCTTTTTTACCTTGTTTATGGTTGTATCCTATTGGTCACGGTCATTGGTCAGTCAGATTCACCTGTTTTAATTGGTTGTATAGGCATAGCAACAAAGATGGCGGGGACACGCAAAACACCGGGAAGAAAAATATGGCTATCAGCAGCTTGTTGGAAATTGTCCCAGTAGCGGTATGCTAGTCTTATGTTGTGTTCGGGTCTCCCGTGACCCGTTTCAAGTTAAAATTATATAATAACTACGCTCTAGTTTTTTTAACGGAACAAGGCTTCATGATATCCTCCACAACAGCTATATATTAACACACAAAAACAGATTTTGACCATTTTAGCCAAGTCTGAAGGTCTCTAAAAAAAAGAAGTGTATAATTTGGTGTTCGGGTCTGGGAAGACCCAGCAGAATTGATGTGGGTGACTCGGGGACAAATTTCGCCCCAATCAGGGTTCATCTTTGACTTTAGACACCCCACCCCCATCTCCTTCATCCACTGTACTAACAATAGATTTTTTGGGGAGATTGTATTCCAATATTAGTCTATTATAGTCAGAACGTAATGATCCACTGTCTTCACTATAGTGAATATAATGAGTGAATTGAATCACATGTTTTACTTAAATATGTGGTGTAATGTTTTTTGGGGCCATAAAATAAAATTACAACAGGATTGTACGGTTATGAATGCATAATAAGTTAGTTATGATGTAGTTAAAACAATATTGGATGATAGTCATTATTTTTGAGTGTTTTGGACTGAGATAAATCATGGGTCAAAATTGACCCGCGAACACCATGAACGGTAACAGCTTTCGAACACAACACAAGGGTTAAATAAGGTTGCTTATCACCAAGCTATGATGCTAATGAAGTATTTAGCTAGTATGGCGTCCCTCTTAAATTAAGCTAGTTTGACAACTTGCTAGATGAGTAAACCACGGACGAGTGTCAGCTTGGACCCAGTCTGATGGTCAGACAGAGCAGCAGGGACCGGAGGAAATGCCGGTCCTCTGAAGAGGTGTTGGACTGCTCAGGTGGAGAGACATTTGGCCTCATCTCCGGAGACCATTTGAACTTCTGAACCGGCAACCGGATAACACTCCAGATCGTCTATTACTGTAAGTTGTAATTAATTGTTTTATCTTTCAGCAATGTCTTTTATTGTGGTGAAAATGCAGTACTTACTTTTGCCTCAAATGCTGAGGTCAAGTTTTTTTTCAACTTTACTGAACAATCAGAAAAAGGTGTTCACATCAGTGAGGGCATTATGAACAGACTACAGAAACATCAAATAAAGGGGAAAAAAACACACATGGTCAATAAGGAATTACGTGTGTGTAGAAATTGGTAAAATGGTTGGACTTTTTTACTTTTGCAACATTCAATTGATTATTTGAATCTAGATCCATGTCAAAAACCCAATACATACCGCAGACATTTGAGGAGACGACATTTGTGGATTAAATATGTTCTAAAATAATCAAATTACTAATTCAAAAGTATTTTTTTGTTTCCCAAATAATGGCTAAATATTATATTGTCCTATGTTAAGAGCGGAATGTTTTTCTCATTGTAAGTTAACCAATACTGGAAATCATCCCAAAATGTTTGAACTATAGTGCAGGAAAAGAAAATATGTGCTGGTGTTTCAATATCTGAGTTACAACAATAACTAAGTCTAAATGGAATTTCTTGTGTCGGAACTTGCACTTTAAGATAGCATTTCAATTGTGTGCTGTTCTATAGGCTTTGTTGCATTCAAAGCATACAGTACTTATAACATACTATTCATTGTTACAAACAAACACAACCCTGTACAAAGGAGAGATTAAATGATTTACAGAATAATGTATTTCTTCAGCTATTTTGATTTCTATCTATACAGAAGTATTTTCATGCAAAAACGTTATAGTTCCAAATTGAAATACAATGAATTTAATATTTTGATTTGGTTTCAATATTGTTTAGGAAAAAAAAAGAAATTTGAATGTGTCACTTTTGTTATTGTGAAGGGTATTTCTCACAATTTTTATTTTGAGCACACATGTTTTTCTAAAATAGACTTCAATTTATATCTGTTGACACAACTGTCTACACAATATTCAGAAGATATATTAAAGGGGCTATATCTTAAAGGGGACCGATCATGCAAAATGCACTTTTGTACGTCTTTTATATATGAATATGTGTCCCCGGTGTTCCAGGGAACTCACCAAGTGTCAGAAAACACAACCCTCTCTATTTTCCTCCATACCCAAATCTCTAAAAAAGGGGCTGCAACGGATCTGATACAGACTGATCCAGATTTGAACACTTCAATGACGTCACAGAAGTGGCGCTACGGCTATTGGGCCAACTCTCCACCTATCAGGGGAATGTGGGGTTGGGCCACGGCCGGCCATTGCCGCTCGAAAGCGCTGGAGACGCTGTAGTACATATGCCAGGCCTGTAAGTGGCGCTGTAGTCTGCCACAAAAGCAGCGAAGAAGACTTCCCGCCCATAGTTACCATGGTTACCTTTCTGTTTATTCTCCGCTGTGGCTTTTTTCCTCCCTCCCCGAGGCAAGCGTTTGCTCCTGCTGCTTTAATTCAATGCAATCCCTCCCCGTCGAGGCAAGCACTGTAATTCTCTCCGGTTAGTCCACCAGCAGATGACAAACACCCACCTCTCCGCCTCTTCCAAGGAACGAGGGGACCGTGCGGCAGAGTTTCAGTTTCAGTTTCTTTCGCCGGTCAAGATGTCCGTTAAAGTTGAAATCTTCCGGACAAAATTAGAAAAGTGCCGGTCAAAGGTCTTCTTTGTTATTTATTGAGCTTTAAAACAAATGAATAACGACTCTATATAATAAAACACGGAGGACGGAGATCTCTTTTTCTCCCCCTCTTCTGACAGCCCAGCAGCTGATCAGAGCACGTCTCCCCTCTCCTGCAGGGGGGCGTGGTCAGCAGAATCAGACCCATAGACAGCAAACAGCACATAGAGCGAAATGAGGCATGGCTAAAATGCATGATCTGTTTGGTATTTTGAAAACAGAAACGTATAAATAATATTAAATATACCTTATATAGGTATGGCCCTACAATATATCATTTAAATATAGCATGATAGGTCCACTTTAAGTTGTGAAAAAACAACAAACATTATTTGTTCGCCTACGTTTGCTCTCTGGTGTAGTGATCATTACAGCACAGGTGCCAGCACAGCTATAGAAGGTTTGTTTACTTGTTTTTTCACATAACCTGCGCCGAGCAACTGTGTATTCCCTGTTGACTTTCTTTTGTTTGTTTAGTGTACACTATACTTTTGAACAAACTCTGTCATCCCTACAGGCTACAGAGGATTGCAGAGTAATATCATGGATTTGGATGTTTGTGTTGGGGATATATTAAGGCAAAAACCTTGTTTAATACTGATTTTATAGAAGTCTATGAGAAAATGTCCCTATGTCTTCCTTCAGAATCAGAATACCTTTATTAGTCCCACGGAGGGGAAATGTGCGTAGTTACAGCAGGAAAAAGAGCCACAGACAAGGAAAGACCTGCGGTATCTCTCCGTGAGACAGCGGGGGTGCAGCAGCCTATCGCTGAAGGAGCTGCACAGTGAGGACAGGGTGTCCTGGAGGGGGTGGGACACATTGTCCAGCAGGGAGGACAGCTTGGCTGACATTCTCCTGTCTCCCACCACCTCCACAGTGTCCAGAGGACTCCTGTCTCCCACCACCTCCACAGTGTCCAGAGGACTCCTGTCTCCCACCACCTCCACAGTGTCCAGAGGACTCCTGTCTCCCACCACCTCCACAGTGTCCAGAGGACTCCTGTCTCCCACCACCTCCACAGTGTCCAGAGGACTCCTGTCTCCCACCACCTCCACAGTGTCCAGAGGACTCCCCAGGACAGAGCTTGATTTATTACCAACATTTTCCTGCTGA